GCCATGGCACCGGCGTAGATCTCGACCTTAGCACCAGACTGCGCTACACACGAAGATCGAGTAGACCTCCACGACACAAGTTCAGAGCCCAAGCTGAAACAGTTGTCAAATTGCATATATTGTTGTGTAGGCTGTAGTGGGGTACTCATTAGAGAGTACAACCTTTTTTAGGGTTTGCCTTTTGTGCTCCCCATGCCTGCTAGTGAACTCATCCTTGTTCTACTATTCTAACATGGTATTAAGGGCCCACTGTTAGTTCTTCCCCTTCCACTGCCCGAATCGCGCCCCTAGGGCGCGTCGATTTTCTCCCCAAATCGCGCCCCTAGGCACGTCGATTTTCTGCCCAAATCGCGCTCCTAGGTGCGGAGAGTCACTACACAACGGGAGTGGACTACGGAGAAGGGCACGGGGTTGTGCGGGGGATCGTAGCGTTGCACTAGCGTTCTCACTACTTGCTGTGTTCACAAGGAAATTTGGCAAGAGTTTCACTAAGAAATTTGAGAGAACATTGAGTACAATGAGGCATGCAAGTCGATATAGCTAGAATGGCATTGCAGCACCTAGCAAGCTCTCTACAGAGCAAATTCTGCCAGCGCAGCAGAAGAGCGGCTTGCCAACGTTGCAGTAGAGTAGTTCTGCCAGCGTTGCACCACAGCGGTCTGCCAGCGCTGCAGAGGCATGTGAACTTATGCACATGTGCGCACCTACCAAGTAGGTGCAGATAGACGGTCGCGCCGCCAGGCACATTGCGCAGGTGCCAGGTAGAACACGTGTGGACGGTTTTGCCAGCCGTGCACCGTCGAGCACGTGATGCCGTTCCGCAGGTCGACTTTGCGAAAACCTCCTGGGCGACATTCGCCTACGCGTCGGATTTTGCAGTCGAGCGACTTGCGTCGACCAGCTCGACGATGCTCCGTCGAACAGCATTCGCCTAGACGAGCACGTCGAGTAGAGCCCGTATACCAGCACCTCTCTACGGGTTCGTCGACCGCATCCTCTGTGAGCTCGTCGACCACGTCCTCTGCGAGCTCGTGGACCAGCGTCCTCTGCGGACCCGTCGACCGCGTCCTCTGCGGAACCGTCGACCAGCGTCCTCTGCGGGCGACTTATGCGGATTGGTCGACGTCGACTTATGGGGACTGGTCGAGGTTGAACTCTACGGGCAGGTCGAGGTCGAACTCTACGGGCAGGTCGACGTTGACTTCTGCGCGCAGTCTGCGTAGACATCTGCGCGCCCCCGACCGCGAAGTCTGCTTCGCCCAAGTGAGGGCGAGGCCTTTTCCCGTCAACACTCCCCTGCCGCGCTCGCGCTTGGGCACCCCACACACTAGGTCTACCCATAACCCAAGGGATAGAATATAAGGAGAAATTCCATCTGCGTGCACCCGACACATAGCACGCAGGTCACCGAACCAGCCGTGCAGAAGGGCACGGCACCTACTGCTGCACCTCGTCATCACCACCACCGACGTCGGCCAGACGCACTTGGCCGATTGCGACGGGGCACCGGTTGAAAGCCGGAAAAGGCAGCGCCTTCGTCAGAAAGTCCGCCGACTGCTCGTTGGTCGGGATGTACTGCAGAGCAATCTTCCCGCGCTTCACCATATGCTGCAGCCAGGCATAGCGTCGCTCCATGTGCATGAGTTTGCCCTTGAGCCCCAAGCCCTCTACGACCGTGATGGCCAACTGGTTGTCTGCGTGCAGCATGGTCGGATTCCTAGCGTCGAGCAACTGGATCTCTGCAAGGAGGAAGTGAAAACGTCGAGCCTCCTTGCCGGCTTCTGTGGCCGCGACGTACTCCGACTCGATCGACGAGAGCATCGCGCATTTGATGCGTTGGCTCGACCAGGAGACTGCGGCCCCTCCGAAGACGAACACGTAGCCGCCCGTGCTCGTCCTGTTCTGCTTGTCACCAGCGTCGTCGGCGTCTGCATAGCCGACCAGACACAGTGACCCTGGTCCGCCGCCGAACTCCAGAGCGGCGTCACGGGTGTCTGCGAGGTAGTGCAACGGTCGACCTCGCGCCAGTGGTTGTCGCTCCGCACTGTCAGGCCGCTCCCCAGCTTGCTGCACGCGAACGCAATGTCCGGCCTCGTCGTCGTCGCCGCGAACTGCAGCGAGCTGACCTTCTGCCGATACTCTTTCTCTTCGAGTGACTGCGCCTCCTCATCGTCGAATGGCAGCTCTGCGTAGGCGTCGACAGAGACCGGCGTCTTCGGCACTCGCCCGGTCTGCTCCTTATCGATGAAACACCGACGCAGCTTGTCGACGTAGACTTGCTGGTGAAGCCACAGCTTCCTCGCCGACCTGTCGCGCACGATCTCCAGCCCAAGATATTTCTCGACCGGCTTGATCTCGTGCATCTCGAAGGCGGCCTCCAGCAGCTCCTTCAGCTCCTTCAGCATTGCGAGGCTGCTGCTGGCGGCGAGCAGGTGGTCGACGTAGACGAGAACCCAGCTCGTCGATCCGTCGTCGCCGACGTTGAAGTAGAGAGCCTCGTCGACCTGGCTTTTCTTCCAGTCGGCGCCGGTCAGCAACGCGTCGAGCGCAGAGTACCACAGCAGCGGACTCTGCTTCAGCCCGTAGAGGCTCTTCAGCAGCTTGCACACTTTGTCGGTCCCGTCGTTGTAGTGGTCCGGCTGGTACATGTAGAGCATGAAGGCCACCATGGACGAGGAGATTACGAGCCTCATCACCAACGGGACGTGGGAGCTGGTCTAGCGCCCACATCTAGCGAAGTAGCGCCTTGAAGACAGGCGGTGATCCAGACAGCCACTTCACCTTGAAGATCCACATGCCATCGACTACATTCGCCCTGGGAGGGGGAACTGCGTCGACGTAGGTGCTTGTGGATCTCCAAGACGCCATCTGGGTCTCCCTAGGGGGCTAACAAAATGGCACGGAGATGGGGAGAAGTAGCTGCCAGGAACTCCAGCTCAAACTCCCTGTCCTCTAGGACGTCACAGTTAAGGGCAGACTAACCCTCGATGGACAGAGGATAGGTAGGAGGAGTAGCCATCACGCGGGTGGCATAGTCGAGGCGACGAGTGGCAGAAATGTCAGCGTTAGCGACAACAATTGCCGAGACCGACGATGGAGGGGCAGTAGGGTCTGTCACGAGAGAGGTGGGAACACGTGAGGTAGCAGGACAAGCAGTGTGGTATAGTCAGGGATAGGGTGAGCGGAGACTGTACAGACGACGCACGAGGTGACGGGAGAACAGACTGAGGCGGAGAACGAGGAGGACTAGCACGAAACAAGACCAAACGGAGGTCACGAAGAGGAGACGAGACACAAATACCCGGTGGTGGTGGTGGTGGTGGTGGTGGTGGTGGTGGTGGTGGTGGTGGTGGTGGTGGTGGTGGTGGTGGTGGTGGTGGTGGTGGTGGTGGTGGTGGTGGTGGTGTGAGGACGTGTGTGAACAGGGAGAGCGATCTCATCACCAGAGTACCTGCTGCCTCCATGGTATGCTCTCCCTCCATGTTGTCTCCGTTTCTGCTGCTGCTGCCTCTGCTACTGCCTCTGCTACCACTGTCACATTCACTTGTTTACTTCAATCATCCGTTCCTCCCTTCCCCCCTTCCATTCCCTCCTCCCCGGATTCTCCCTGTCCTCCCTCCCAATTCTCCTTTTCCTCACTCCATCCTCTTAACTTGCAACCCGGTCCAGCTTTCCTGTTCCCTTACCTGACCCAACACACCCACACCCCACCTCCCCCTCCGCTCCCGATTCCTTTCCCCCTGCCCCAACCCACACCCACACCCAACACACATGCACTCACCCACTCTCCCAGGCGAACCGGGGAGTGGCAAGTCCAGCTGTCACATCTCATTCGGTTACTTCTTGCAAACCAACTCCTCCCCCCCCCGTCCTCTCCTCCCCCACAGCCATTTCACCCCCCAAGGCTCTCTCCCCTCCGCTCCCCCTCTCCCCACATACTCACTCACACACCCAGGCAAACCGTGGTGTGGCGAGTCCAGCTGACATCTCCATGGACACACATCATATTCAGCAAGAGCTCTCCATCTCCCTCACTCCCTTTGAAGAAGCTGTGCGGCTCACTTTCGCCGCTGCGCACTGATTTGTTCAGCGGATACAGTAGTTGTCATGCCATGTCTCTGACCCTTGTTGTTTGTTTGCTCTGGAAGAGCCACTGCAGTTGTTACTTGCAATAGCAACACCATTTCTACATGCTTGGGTGGGATAATGCGTACAGATTAATGGAGAGACAAAGCTTGCTTGCGGTACATTAAAAGTTCAGCGCATTGCATTGCATCATAGTATCCCCGCATCTTACTAGAACCACCCACGGAAACCAGTGTCAATCTCTTTTGAGCATGTCCCCGCCACAGTGATTGTAATCAACCACAAGCACCAATGATAACAAGCACAGCCCATCCTGAGTCTCCACTCAGGCCATCAGGCCACCTGCTCCATTGACAACTTGAGAAGCCACTGCACACTGCACTCCTCTCCACCCTTCCCACTTTCATAACCCAATCTCATGTCTTCTCCTGCCCATTATTCCACCTACCCACACTCCCACCTCCATTCACACCTGGGTACAGTCATATTTTGTGGCGAACACCGGTAATCAGTAACGGACGAGTGCATGCAGGTTCGCGTGTTCAGGGTTTTGGGTTTCGGGTAAGGAATCAGGACGGAAAATTTCCTTACACTATAGGGAAACCTAAAAAAGATGACTCTCATTGACAAAGCACAAACACAAATAGAAATACACGAAAGGTCCTGGGATCGAACCCACCCCCGTGCAGGCGTGTTCTGCCAGCTCCCCAAGAAGGGGGTTCGCACGTCCTTATCTGGGAAAGGGATAGTTCAATTGATTACGATCAACAAAAACTTTTAACTTTAACAAATAGAAATACACGAATGTGACAGGCTAGCTACTTCTAACTAACCAAACCAACACTCGCAAACCTGGACAAAACCAACTAGATCAAGCATGGTGAAACATGCAAGAAGACCCATTGTGCTTCCATCTAGAGCAAAAGCGCTGCAATCATCGAAAGAACCAGGGCCATGGAGCTTCCATACAAGGCAAAAGTACCAGCACCTGCACAGTCACAGAGAAAGAAAAACAATCAAAACTTGGTAAAGAATAAAGCTGACACGTTGGTGTTGTCTCAAGGCATTGGCATGTACTACACGACACCTGTCAACACAAGACAACAACAGCCATGCTACTGCGGCACGCCATTGCATACCAACTTTTAGTTGCGGCATTGCAATGAGAGCCACAGGGCGTACCTTTGCCGTACGGTGACACGGCATCGTAGCTGGTGAGGGAGCCCATGTTGGCGGGGAACACCGCGCTAGAGACCTGAATCGCAGCCATATATTCAGATGACGTGGTCTTGCCAAGAAATTTCTCGGAAGTGCCCTGACCACCAGCTTTATTTACACGCGCCACTGCCTTTGGGCCTCCAGCGTCAGCCCCAGTCGTATATGCTGCTGCGCTCAGGGGGTCGTTAGTCACATTGTATTTAATGGCTTCGATGGTTCCTATGTCGGTCCCAATGAAGAAGGCATCTAAGCCTTTCTCAGTGGTGCTGCTAGTGACGTTGCTGTACATATACAGTGGCTGATTGACCAACGTGTTTAGGCTGAACCGCCCGTCCTTGTACTGTTCGGAAGGAAACAGGATGAGAAACAAACGATAATGGCAGAAAACTGCGTGAGCGTTTCGAGATGAACGCACTAAAAAGAAAAGGAAAGAAACTTTGAAAGAAGCAATAACGCCAATACTCAAGAAACAACAACGCTAACACCGGGTGCCAGGCGGGGAGGAATGAACTCACCTTGCCAGATTCCATATCCTGGACTGAGATGTATTCGCGGATCGCCATGTACTTGGCCAGCCGGGACATGGCATTCTTGGCGTTGGCAGACATGGCGTTGAGACTCGCCACGGCGCCCTTGGACTTCACCATCGTGTCGAGCGCCTCATAAAGCGGGTCCGACGCGGTTGTAGCGGACGGGTTCATGCCCTGGTAGCCCGAGAGCGCTTGACTCCAGGCGTCGTTGGAAGGTAACAGAAGCGAGACACTGCTGATGTCGGTCACCTTGTCGTATCCCGCGGAAAACTCCACCATTCCAGCGGATAGGTCACTGGAGGGAAACTGGGCCTGATCGCGGATTTGAGCCAGCACGTCGGAGAGGGCAACTGCTTCCGCGAGGCGCGGCAGAGGGAGAATCACCGCCCAGATTGACGCGGAGTATAGCACGGCGAAGGTGAGGACGTGGCGCGCCGACGATGTGGACTGAATGTTGGCCATGGCGCTGTGCTCGTGTGACTAAGGAAAATCTGATGATGGCGTGGGAGCTTGCAGTTAGACGAGAAACACTCGTGCGGGCGAGGTGATGAGGATGAGGTGAAACGGGCACTGTTGGCAGTGAAGGCTTGCCGATGGTATGAAGTGGGAATGTTGAGAAATATATACCCCACATCTCCATCGTGACCCAGAGCGCTTGTGCCGTGGCGCTCCAGATTTGTTGTCCTTCAATTTGGGCTTCCAGCGATGACCAATAATTCCATGTCCTCATGACCCTCGCGGAAACCAACGACCTTCACAATGTACACGTACACTCAGCTCCGCATTTCAGATGTCCACTCAGCATTTCCGGTTTTTGCATTATTGCAGTTTTCGTACACGTACACACTGTTATCCGATACAATACAACCCTACATCATAGAAAAGCTGGGCTGATTACTGTGCAAGCTGCACTTTATCCGCTAGAGTCACATGAATCAAATCAAAATGATGAGGAACGTCTGGCAAAGGCCGTCAGACAAATCTTTGAAGACAACATTTGACATAATTAATAATCCTTCTTTCCACCCCCCTTGCTGCTGCCAGCTCAACCTGCCTCCCACACCTCTTGCTGCTGCCTAAACATCCTCCCTCCCACACCCCTTTCTGCTACCAACTCATACTCATCATCGATTGTGATGCCTAAAATGAAGTCGTCGTCGCAATAATGTACCCAAAGATACATCCATCCTTTGATGAGTTTATATTAAGACCCTAGAGCCTTTTATCCATTGAACTACGGGTAATCGAATCGTATCTAGTGATTACACACTGCGCATCATAATAAGGTCTGCTGTAGTATGAAATACAAACCGTTAAATCTGGTGTAGTATTGAAATATACCAGTATAAACACAAGTGAAGAGACACAATAGCAGGGCAGTTGCATCAATGCGTGAACCGTGGGCTTCCAGCGAATAACAACTCCACTTTCCTGGAATGAAAAACGGGACGACGAGATATCTCTTGCTAGTCTCCCCGGTTCACCCTCACACCAAGTTACCGTTGGACGGCACGCAATGAAGGTTCTCATTGTCGGCGGCACGGGGTATCTCGGCCAGTTCCTCGTCAAAGCGTTTCTGGAGGCGGGAAACACGGAGGCTGGTGGTTGCTCCACGTGCGATGACGTGGCACTGACGTATTGTTCAACCCCGCCAACTGCGGAGCAGGTGGCCGCGCTCGGCGGGCCGCGCGCGTTCCGCGTGGATCTGGCGAGCGGCGACGGACTCGCGGCGTGCATTGCGGAATTCGGACTGGTTGGTGGGTTGGGATGGGATCGCTGGTACTGACAACTGCGGATCGAGGTTAGGGTGCAAAGTGAGAGACGATTGAGGCGCCTGGGTTAGGGTGCAAACAACGGTTGAACAGGCGAAGTTTTGAAAGGTTTCCCCACTTACGTATGATGCCCTTCCACGACGGATCTCCACCGTTCAAACTTAACCCAAAGCCACCCCACCCCACCCCACCCCACCCCGTCTCATCGCACCCCGCCCCACCTCTCCCCATCAGCCGGACGTGGTGGTCAACTGTGCAGCCGTGTCCGTGCCAAGGCAGTGCGAGAGCGACCCTGCCCTGGCCATGCGGATCAACGTACCCTCCGCGCTCATTGCTGCTCTGTCCGACGCCGCTGGGAGCAGTGCAGCAGGCAATAAGAATGGCGATGGGAGTGGGAATAAGGAGGAGGGAGAGGAGGGGTTGGAGAGGGATAGGGAGCAGCAGCGCCTGCAGCTGCTGATTCACCTCTCCACGGACCAAGGTGACTTTTGAGTCGACCCAAAAGTCAACTCATGAGTCGACTCAAAAGTCAAAAGTCAACTTTTGAGTCGACTCAAAAAGCAGCGCCTGCCGCTGCTGATTCACCTCTGTACGGACCAAGGTGAAGCGTGTGTAGCGGGAGGGGAACGGGAGGGGGACAGGATGGGTACGGGAGGGGGACGGGAGGGGAGAGGGAGGGAATGGGACTGTTGATTCACATCTCTCACTTTTGCAACCTTTTCAATCTGTTCCACCCTAGACCACCCTAAACCACCCCGTTTGATACACAGCTTCAGCACCCAGCCAGCTCGTTCACTGCCTTACAACCTGCCTTCACATTTCGCTTCTTGAAAGTGCCTTGTTTTCACCCTCTCACCCACTCGCCCTCCTTGCGCCGTGCCACACCATGCCAGCAGGAGATGCAAGTGGACTGAGTACTGAGCTGGCACCCATGCCATCTCCCCCGCTCCTCCCACGCCCCCCCCCGTTCTCCCCCACCTTCCTCCCCTCCCCAGTCTACGAGGGCACCAAGTCGTTTTACAAGGAGGATGATCCGTTGCTGTCAGTGAACACGTACGGCAGGAGCAAGGTGGCAGGGGAGCAGGCTGTGCGCGGGCATTGGCGGGGCAGCCACGCCTTTCCCCTCCCCCTCCCCCTCTCTTCCTCCTCTTCCCCCAGTCTACAAGACCGCCTCTACAAGGCACCTTCCCAGGAGAAACGAGAAAGAAAAAAAAATAGAATCCCTTTCTCTCTTCCCCCCCCTCTCCCTCTCTGTCTCCCCCTCTTCACCCCCCTCCCCAGTCTACGAGGGCACCAAGTCGTTTTACAAGGAGGATGATCCACTGCTGCCAGTGAACACGTACGGGAGGAGCAAGGTGGCAGGGGAGCAGGCCGTGCGCGAGCAGTGGCGGGGCAGCCACGCCATTCTGCGCAGCAGCATTATCGTGGGTCCACCCCCACCCGTGCCTCTGAAAAAGACCCTGCCGCTGCAGGTGAGAGCCAAGGGGAGTCTTTTTCGAAGTGCCTTAATCATCGTGGGTCCGCCCCCACCCGTGCCTCTGAAGAGAACCCTGCCGCTGCAGGTGAGGCGAGGGGCGAGATGGTACGAAAACTGGGAGGAGAGGGGGAAGGAGCGCGGAGGAGGACAGGACAGGGCGGATGTGGGAAAGGGAAGTGAGCGTGCTGTATGCTGTGGTGATGGAGGTGACAGGAAGTAGAGCTTGCTTTACTTGAATCATGCTATGATGTGTGCTTGCTGCCAGTTCATGTTTTGCAGTGTCTTATTTTGGACTTGGTTTGCTATTTTTTTTTCCCCAGAATTCGTTTCTCTCCCTCCGCTTCCTCTCTCCGCTCCTCCCCTCCTCCCCACTTTACCTTCCACTGTCTCCCTCATCCCTTTCCCAATTCATCCCTACCCACCTTCGTCCCCCCCCCTCTCCGCCGCACTCTCCTTGCTCCCTTCACCCACCATGGATAGATTCAACATCGCACTCCCCGCCAACATCAGGCTACCGGACAGCACTTCTCAGTCAGTCCAAAGGACTCCTTGACTCCCTTACCCTCTTCCTCTTCGCCTCCGTTCTGACTTTTGAGTCGACTCAAAAGATTCCACATCGCACTCCCCGCCAACATCAGGCCACCAGACAGCAACTTCCCAGTCAGTCCAAAGGATTCCGTGACCCCCTTGCCCTCTTCCTCTTCGTCTTTGTTCTCCGTTTCTTCTTCCTCTCCCTTCCCCTCTCCCCTCTCCCCCCGCACCAGTGGATGGATGGAGCACTGCACTCTGCGTTGGCATCGGGCCAACCAGAGTCCTTTTTTGACGACGAGTACCGCTGCCCCGTCTACGTGCACGACTACCCCCGCATTGTCCGGGCACTCATGCATCGACACGCCCAAGGTGCGCGCCTTGCTGATTCCGAGCGGAGTTCTCCGCTCCGAGTCAGGGGACTCCTCCAATCAATGAGGCGCCTCAAAAGTCGTCTCATGTCTCGCGGTTTTGAGGCGCCTCAAAATTCGGAGTTCAGTGGACTCCACAGAACATTTGCCACGAATCGGCCTGCATCCCAAAATGCTTATACGATTTTTGTGCTGGGCTTTGCCGTCTCGTCTCTTCTTGTCCATGAGGGCAGAACAAGGACTGTCCATGCCCCCTGACGTGGAAACCTGGGTCAGGGGATACTGACACACTGCCTCCCTTCCAATGCCCATTTGTAGCAAAGGCCGTTGCATCGATGGTCGTTGCCCACCCCGTCCATCCAACCCTCTGCCCTCCCTGCTTTCCCTCGCAACCCACCCCATCAGGCGAGCACATGGCCCTAACGTTGTACATGGGAGGGCCAGACCGTTTGTCAAGAGTTCTGAGGCGCCCCAAATTTGATTACCCGATCGACCCCTCTTTCCCCTCCCCGCTCTCCCGTTAAACCCATCAGGCCCTGACGCTGAACGTGGGGGGGGCAGATCGCCTGTTCAGAGCTTTGAGGCGCCCTAAAATTGATCATTCTGTCCGACTCCCTTCCCCTCCCCTGCTCTCTTACCCACCCCATCAGGCGAGCGCATGGCCCTGACGTTGAACGTGGGAGGGCCGGACCGCCTGTCCAGAGCAGACATGGCCGCAGTGGTGGCCCGGGTCAGGGGGTACCTCCTCCCTGCCTCCACCCCCACTGCTTCTGCTGGTGATAATGGTGCCGATGCTGATGATTCTTCTTCTGCTTCTGCTACTGGTACTGTTGGTTCTGCTGGTGCTGCTGGTACGGCCGCCAGTGGCAGTGGTGGTGGTGGTGCTAGGACGTGTGTGAGCAGGGAGGGCGATCTCATCACCAGAGTACCTGCGGCCTCCATGGTACGCCCTCCTTCCCCGCTGTCTCTGCTGCTCCCCTTGATACCTCTGCTGCCGCCGCTGCTGAACCTGCCGAACCTGCCAAACCTGCCGAACCTGCCGAACCTGCCAAACCTGCCGAACCTGCCGAACCTGCCTGCCGAACCTGCTGAACCTGCTGAACCTGCTGCCTCTGTCGCACTCACTGTTTTTAACTACAATTCTCCATCCCTCCATTTTCCTTCCCATTCCCTCCTCCCTCCAATCTTTCCTTCCCCCCTGCCCCTTCTCCTATATCTCCCTCCATCCTCCCCCAATTTTGTACCCCCTTCCCACTGTCTCGTTCTCCTACCTACCTGCTCTCCACCCTCCCTGCCCCAACCCACACCTACACTCACTCACCCACCACGCCCTCAGGTGAACCGTGTAGTGGCGAGTCCAGCTGACATCTCAATGAGCACTTGGCTCATTCAGCAAGAGTTCTCGCTCTCCATTCAACACCCCCCCTGCAACACCCACACACACTCAATCCTCCCCCCCCCCCCCCCCTCTGCCACACGCACACCCACACATGCATAACAATACTTTCTCCCCCCCGCTCTCCTCCTACCCACGCGCTACCCACACTCTCAGGCGAACCGGGGAGTGGCGAGTTCGGCTGACATCTCCATGGGCACTCAGCGCATTCAGCAAGAGCTCTCTCTCGCTCTCCCTCACTCGCCTCCTTTTTGCCTATGCTCACGTTCTCTCCCTCCCACGCCCCCAGGCGAACCGAGGAGTGGCGAGTCCAGCAGACATCTCAATGGAGACACAGCGCATTCAGCGAGAGCTCTCGCTCTCCCTCTCTCCCTTTGAACAAGCTGTGCGGCTCACCTTCGCTGCTGCACAGTGATTCATTCAGTAGATGACATATATCATGCCGTGTGTGTACACTTTTGCGGCGCAGCGAATACCGTACCAAGCCATGTCTTTGATATGGTACTTCATTGTTTTTTCCTCTGGAAGAGGTAACATCACAAACCTTGCAGAATTTAGAGACAAGAAGTTGCTGAAGTTACAAGCTGGGCACATTGCAACCCTTCATCCACATCCCCACAATCAACCACCATCAATTATAACATCATAAATCTCACCAGGTGTGTAGTATTTGTTAAAAGAGCCATTGTATTCAACCACAAGCACCAATAATAACAAGGCCCATCTAGAGTTAAGAATCCATCAATCCACTTGTTCCACTGGCAGCTTCAGCAGCCAATCCAAGTGCACTCCTCTCCACTCCTCTCCACTCCTCTCCACTCCTCCGCACTCTTCGCAGTCTCGCTATCCGATCTCATGTCTCCTCCTGCCCCTTATTCCAACTACCCCTCCTCTACTCTACTCTCCACAACTCCCCCACACCCCTCACCCCCCCTCCCTCAACCCCCAACAAACCCCTCTCAACCCCCTCATTCCGCTCCTCCCTTGCTCAAACCAGTGGCGGCGGTGGGCGCTTGGGCGGGGGCGGTTTCTTAGGCGGCGAGGGGGGAGCAGGCGCAGTGGTCATTGCCGCAGCCGTGAACGTGGCCCCAGCCCCAACCTGCAAGTACCCCAGCTGAGTAACCGCTTCGTTCGGCCTTATGGGGAACATCTTGGGAACGAGAGTGAAGAACCCGGGAGCGGTGGGGTGGTCTATGAGGCCCCAGCGGGAGAGGGGGGCGAGGTTTTTCGCGGAGATCTTGAGAGAGAGGATGGTTTTGTTGGTGTAGTTGATGATTGTGACGTTGTACACGTTGAATGCGGGCGGGACCGTGGCGTCTATGGTCTGCAGGAATGTCACTGGGGCTGTGATAGAGAGGGGGGAAGGGGAAGGAGAGAGGAAGGGAGGGAGATCTTGAGTGTGAGGATGGTTTTGTTGGTGTAGTTGATGATGGTTAGGTTGAAGGCGGGGGGGACCGTGGCGTCTATGGTCTGCAGGAATGTCACTGGAGCTGCAAGAAGAAGGGGGGAGGGAGTGGGAGGGAGAGAGGGCGGGAGACGATTGTGAGGTGATGGTCTTGTTGGTGTAGTTGATGATGGTCACGTTGAACACGTTGAAGGCGGGGGGGACCGTGGCGTCTATGGTTTGTAGGAACGTCACTGGGGCTGCAAGAAGAAGGGGGGAGGGAGAGGGGAGGGGGGGAAAGAGGGAGGGCGAAAGAGAGACTATTGTGAGGCGCCTCAGAGATGATGGTTAAGTTGAATGCGTTGAAGGCGGGAGGGACCGTGGCGTCTATGGTCTGCAGGAATGTCACTGGCGCTGCAATCAGGAGGGGAGAGAGAACACGATTGAAAGAAGGGGGGAAGTGGGGGAAAAGGGGATTGGAAGGGGAATGAAGAAAGGAACATGACGGGGAGGGGGAACAGGATTGACAGTGGTGGTGGTTGAGAATGGTGGTTGAGAATGGTGGTTGAGAATGGTGGTTGAGGGAGTCCGAACCAAACACCTTAATCACATGGCAAGGAAATGGAAGCTTGAAAGAGCTGTTTAGTTTCGAGGCACCGGAAGTGATTTTGAGGCGCCTCAAAACTAAGCTTGAAAGAGCTCTCCAGTTTTGAGGCACCGGGTGTGAAAATCCACTGCATTGCAAAGCAAGCAAGAGCAAGCGAGGGAAGAGCTTAGCCGGCCTTTCCTATAACAGGAGGAGGGTGGCTTGAGAATGTGTTTTGAGTCGACTAACAACTTACTTATAACAGGAGGAGGGGGGCTGGGAGGCTTGGGCGGCGGAGGAGGGGGGCGGATGGGAGGCGACGGGGGAGGAGGAGAGGGCTGCACGGCGGAGGGAGGTGATGGGGGTGGGGGAGCTGGCACAAGCACCGGCGGCGACGGCGGCGGCGGCGGTTTCTCCGTGAAAGGCGGAGGAGGAGGCGCGTTCGACGTGTACGAAACCACGCGGAACACCGGAGTCAGCGCCGCGTTCTGGATAAATCCAAACCCCGCCGACCCGCCCGGGTTGAGGTTGGCGGCCCAGTCGGGGAGGACGAGCGAGCGGTCGATGTTCCAGAGGGAGTTGGGCGAGAAGGAGGTGGCGGTGAGAGTGATGCCCCGCACGGCGTAGATGCCCTCGTTGCGCACCTCGCAGTTCCACTGCTTCTGTGGGCCGTTGCTGTCCGTCCATGAGGAGACGATGGAACAGAGCACCGTCACGTCTGGGGGAGAAGGGAGGAGAGGAGGGAGAGAAGGGATTGCCTCAGTTCCACTGCTTCTGCGGCCCGCTGCTGTCCGTCCATGAGGAGACTATGGAGCAGAGGATGGTCACGTGTGGGGAAGGAAAGGAAGGGAAAAGAGTGAGCAAGGGCATGAGCTGGTGATATTCTAAGCGCCCATTTTGCGGCTTCTTTGCGCCAAAACTGAAAACAAAAAAAGGGGAATGAAAAAAAGAGACAAGCAAAGCAAAGAACAGACAGCAGAGATTCGTCACCTGAGAACGGTGGGGGCGGAGGCGAAGGAGGAGCAGGCGGGGGGCTGGGCGGAGAGGGGGGGGATGGGGGAGGGCTGGGGGGAGGAGGCGGAGAGGGAGGCGAGGGCGGAGGTGGGGGGCCGGGAGGGAGAGTGCCGACTAGGAGGCGGGCGAGAGCTCCTACAAGACCCGGGTTGTTGTAGGTGGTGGGCTCTCCGTACTCGTAGCTGTTGCGCACGTCTGAATAGCTGTCCGTCTGGATGGGAAGGGGGGGGACGGCGGGGGGGCAAGGGGAGAGGAGGAGGCGGAAGGGGGGGGGGGGGGGGGGGGAGGGGGGGTAATGAGGAAGAGGAGAAAGGAAGGGGACCTTCTAAAAAGCCAAGGGCAAGGAGGTGAGATCATTGTCACCACGGGCGACCCCGAGAAGGAGAAGGAGAAGGAGAGGGAGAAGGAGAAGGAGAAGGAGAAGGAGAAGGAGAAGGAGAAGGAGAAGCGCATTGGGATTAGGGGCATCCACGTAGACGTAGGCGAACATGGTCAATGGAATGCAATGACTCACCCCGCCGCCCTTGGGCCCGCCAACAATCGCCCAAATGTGCACGCTGGGGTGGGTTGGGTGCGCCGACATAGAGCTAGGAGAAGGAGTTCAATTGGCATCCGAGAAGGTGGGGTGGGTTGGGTGCACAAGCACGTGCATGCATGCATGCAAGAAACACCAGACTCACCCATCGCCCTTGGGCCCGCCGACAACAGCCCCAATGTGGACATTAGCATTGGGTGCGTCCACATAGAGGTAGGAGAAGGAAGGAGGCCAACTGACACCTGTTATTGCACAAGCATGTGCATGCACGGAACACCAGACTCACCCCATCGCCCTTGGGCCCGCCGACAACAGCCCCAATGTGCACGTTGGAATTGGGTGCGTCCACATAGAGGTAGGAGAAGGAGGCACCGCAGGCGATGGGGCGCGGGTCGACGTTGTACGAGACCACAGAGGCCCCCCGGTGGTGGATGCGGCGCGGGTAGTTGGCTGTGAAGCCCACCACGTAGGAGAGGTTGAGGGGGTTCTTTCCCAGCATGTAATCCACCTGAGAAAGGGGCGCGGGTTAGGGGGAGATTGGGCAGGAAGGCCGGGCAGAGAGAGCAGGTGGTGGGCGACAGGTGGTGGACGCTGCGCAGGTAGTTGGCTGTGAAACCAACCACGTAGGAGAGGTTAAGGGGGTTCTTTCCCAGCATGTAGTCCACCTGTGGGGGGGAGAGGTGGGAACAGGGGTGGGGTGGATCATGGGGTGGAGAGACAAGTGGGGGCTTGAGGAGGGCGTGGGGGAGTTGGGCAGGGAGAGCGGACAGTGAGAGAGGGATGGTGGGTGTGGCGTGGGTAGTTGCGCGGGTTTCTGCCCAGCATGTAGTTAACGGGCTGTCTACAAAAGCGCATGACCGCACACATACACACGCTTGCTCACCTGCGCCTTGACCTCGGCAACAATGTCGCTGGGCTTGAACACAGTGCTTCCACACGTGAGCGTGGCGCCTGCCCCCGCCAGGTAATCAGCGTACACGGATGAGAGGAAGGCCATGTTGACGATGTACTGGTTGTTCACTCCGCGCCCCGAGATGTACAGATGCCCGGCTGTTAAGAGGGGTGGATGGATGGATGGGGAGAGGGCAAGAAAAGGAGGGTTTTGAGGCGCCTCAAAAGGCCATGTCAGGTAGCCGGCATACACAGAGGAGAGGAAGGCCATGCTGCTGCTGACACTGTCTCTCAAGTGCAGAGCAGAGGTGCCCATGTAGATAGAAACCCTTTCACTTACCCGGTGTGCGCGGGAGCTTTGGGGCGGAGTGGCCAGGCATTTGGTTGCACACATAGTACTCCGCGCCCTGCTTGTAGCTGCCCAGTAGCGCGCTGCTGCCTGCTGGGTTCGTGCCCGCCAGGAGGTACTGCAGGAGAGGAAGTGGGACGCAGAGGGGCGGACGGGAGGTGGGGTGGTGTGTGAGGAGGAATGGGGCATGTTGTTGCGTTCCTGCCATAGCTGCCCAGTAGCGTGCTGCTGCCTGCTGGGTTCATGCCTGCCAGGAGGAACTGCAGGAAAGGAAGCAGGGCGCAGAAAGGGGGGCACACAGGGAGAGTGTGAGGAGGACACTGGCCATGCATTTGCACACCCCGTCGCTCCCCCCGTCGCTTGTAACGGCCGAGGAGGCATGAACTGGGCATGCATTTGCACACGTATTACTCTGCTCCCCCCGTCGCTTGTAACGGCCGAGGCAAGGGTGGAAAAATGGCAATGGAATGAACGACACGACATGCACGACGAGTTGAGCAAGGAAAAGAGGACAACGGCTCAGATGAAAATCTTGAAGTCCCAGCTATGCACAACACAGCTAGAGCCGCCGCTCGCCATGCGTCCCAACCCTCGCTTTCACACACGCCCACACACCCACCTTGCTCATGACCACGTACACGCCCGCGTACTTGTTGCCCCAGCTGCAGAACCAACCAGCGCACGCAGAAATTCTAGCTAAGCAGCAGGGGTACGCTCGCCCTCTCTCCCTCATGCCTCATCTTATCTCACACCTACCTTGCTCATAAGAATGTGCACGCCCGCGTACTTGTTGTCCCAGCTGAACTCCGAGAGGCGCTCCGTGCTGGCCTTGAGCGTGCCGTCCTTGGTCACCAGGTAGCTCACGTAGCTCGCATTGCCCGTCGCCTTGTACAGCCACGCTGCCGCCCATGCCAGCTCGTCCTGGCGGAGGGGGCGAGGGAGAAGTGGGGAGAGGAGGAGGAGCAGCAGAGGACGCGGAGAGGAGGGGCAGACGAGGAGAGGTGGAAGAGAAGGAAAGGGGGAAAGAGTGAGGGGCTTGAATTGAAATACAGCGTGGCATTAATTGCAGTGCGGTGCGTTTCTACTCGACTTAAAAATCGCTCCCTCATTCCCTCTCTCTCCTCCTCACCCACCTGGTACTCGCTCCATGAGCGATAGGAGTTCTGCACGTGGGTAATCACATCGACTTCTAAATCAGCTCAAAATACAGCGCCAACTATAACGAGGTAAACGTTCATTCAACTCAAGACCCCCTCCCCTCCCACCCTCTCTCCCGCCCTCCATCCCTCCTGCTCTCCCTCACCCACCCACCTGGTACCCGCTCCACGAGCGATAGAAGTTCTGCACGTTCGTAATCACGTCACTATACGCGCCCTTGTACGTGTCTGCGAATGAGAACAGCTGCTTCGAGTGCGTGAGCAGCAGGTTCGAGTACGCCGTGTCCTTCCCCGCAAACGCCATGCTCGCTGCAGCCATGGCTGCCGCGGTTTCCCCGGCCAGGTCGGACCCGGGGTGGGTGGCGTCTATCTTGTAGGCTGTGCGATCCGTGGTCATGTCCTCTGGCCGTTGCCAGCAGCTGTGGTCCGAATTGCCGTCGCCCACCTGGACAAGGGAGGACGGGAGGAGAAGAGGGAGAGGGAAGAGGGTGGGGAGAAATGGGTGGAAGGGAGGTGGGGAAGAAATGGGAGGAGAAGGGGGGAAGTGGATATGAGAGGGAACTAAGGGGAAGACGAAAGAGGAGGAAGAGGGAGCAGGAGGAAATATGGTTGGTGAATAAGGGCTTTTAAGGCGCATCAAAAGCGAGGGCGCAGGAGGCTATCGTGGTGAAGGAAGGCGACTGCCATTCTCCGCCACCGAGGGCTCAAGTCACCACTCACGCCCACTCACAGCACACCACTCACGCGCACTGCTCCCCGCCCCGCCTCACTTCCTGCCTCTGGCTTCCTCCTTCCCCACTCCTTCCCCAGCTCACCCTCCCCTGCTCCCACTCCCCCGCCCCTCTTCCCCCCTCTCCGCCGCGCTCCCCTCACCTGGCCCCACAGCTCGTTCGGCGCAGTGTGCGCCTTGAGCAGGAAATCGGAGCCCCACTTTATCGCGTCCAGAGTGTACCCGAGCTGCCCCTGAATGTCCAGCTGGCGCCCGTACTCCACAACCACCCACGACAGCACCGTCACGGTATACGCCATGGGGAACCCGAACTTCACGTTGTCGCCCGCGTCGTAGTACCCGCCCACCAGATCCACCTGGAGGAGGGGGAAGGCGGAGGGATGTGGCGCGGGGAGGAGGGGAAGCGCGGAGGGGGGAGGAGCGCGGACGGCGGAGGCGCGGGACGGGAGGGGAGATGGGTGGGAAAGGGGTTGTTGGGCGGTCGGCGGGGAGACGGAGCGCCGTTTGACGCGGCCTTGAGCGCGCGCCGCAAGGTGGGAGCGCTGACGCGAGTCTGCGCATGTGCGAGTGGGTAGGGGGAATGCAGCCAAAGGCGCACTCACGCATTCCTTTTCCCAATTCCCCCGCAACAACCTGTTTCAACCAGGCTTCCCCTCTCGCACTTCCTCCCACGCTCGCTTCCCCTTCCCCTCCCCGCACTCTCCCTCCCCCCCCTTCCGCGCGCTACTCTCCGCCGCAGCGCGCCACTCTCCCCCCCAGCTTACGTTGTTCTTCGCGCCGTCCTGCAAGCCCGAGTCGTTGCGCCACGTCACCCTGGTGGTGGCGGGATCCAACGGCCCGGAGCGCTGCCCCTCGAAGAACAAAATCGCCTTGGCCAGCGCGTCCGCATAATCCGGATCGCCGGGCGCCGCGGACGCGACGGAGGCATGAAGAGTTAAACTAAATGCCGACGCGAGGAGGAGGACAAGTGCCGAGGCCAGTGAAGCGAGATTGGTGGGAAAGTGGGGCTTCTTGCGAAGGCGACGAGGTGGCGGAGGCCCCATGGCGGTGACTGTATCGAGAGTGGTGTTATAGAGAGGGGGCGCTGGTCGATGAGAGCATGTCAGGGTCGACGATGGACGGTGGTAAGGTGAGCGAGTAAACGGCGCGAGAATGAGTGGTCGACGATGGATGGTGGTAAGGTGAGCGGGTAAACGGCGCGAGAATGAGTCTCACGCGGCGAAGAGAGGGAGTATGGATACGGTGGTGAGATGGAGTTGATAAATTGTTGGTGGAATGGGGTGCTAGTTGAGAGAGAGGCCAGTGGCAGGGTGAACGTAACTTAGGCGATACGGACGCTGAAGTAACGGCGACGCTTTTCTATATACGGAACGGAAGAAACGACGGCGATGTGGGAGGGCTCCGCGTCCGCGCCCGTCCGACAATATCAAAACGGATCACGTAAGGAAGAAGTGGGTGAAACGAATCGAAGGAAAAGAGGCCAGGCCAGGAGGACAAAACAAAGTTTGTTGACGTGTCGCGCGCTCGCGCTGGTTCGGTTTGGTCTGGTTAGGCTCGAAAATCTCAAAGGGCGGGCACTGGGCACTGGGGTTGGTTGGAAAATGAAATGGCCTGGTTCGGGATGCGGAGGAACCAGGGAGGTGAAAATCAACGTGGGAGATCGTCGGGTGGATTGGGAAAGGCTGACATCGAAGTTGGCTTGAAGGGGAGGCTTGCTTTGAGACCTGGGGATGGGAGTAGAGAAGGTTGGGGGGAATGACGCAGACAAGGGGGGGAATTGTGCCCCCTCACTCCCTAGACGGGGATCTGGCTGGCCGAATCTCTGGCTGCGCGCGGAAATAAGCGGAACTTCAGCTTCGTTCACTTCACAGCCTTGGCGTGGTCCGTGTTCCTTACGTGAATCATCAGTTCGCCACAGAACTGGTGATAACTGGGGAAGGTGGCGGCGGCGACGGCGTAAACTTGTGTCGAGCGATGTCGCTCGGGCGGGAAGGGGAAACAAGGCATCTGACCGACAATTTCAAACTTCACAGCAGCCTGGAACAACTGCAACACACCCGCAACAAAATCACGTGTAGTCCCTCCCGCTTGAGATTGATGAAGTGCTGCCATGAAGGCTTTCAAGATTGGCGGCGATGCTTGAAAAAAACCGACATGGTGGACATGCTTCCTAAGACATCTACAGTCGCATGTCGACCAAGTAGGGCACGTCCACCCATGGTGCTCCCTCTCCAAACTCCTGCTCCCCACCCCCTCGCTCCACCCACTCCGCCTCGGACTGACCCAACGTGTATGCCGCCCGCAAAAGAATCACCCGAGCCTGTGCCTTCTGCAAAGCTACCCCTACCGCGGCTGTCAAGGACCCCACCAAGTATTCCGAGAAACCCGAGCTGTTGCCCCTTCCCACACCTTTGTTAAGAGCCACCTTTACTTGAACCTCCCCCTGCTGCCGTAACCACTGTCGAAAGCTTCCCCCCAAGCAACCCCAAGTCTCAAGAATCAACGGGAAGAAACGAACCCCCCTGTGTTGCCGCAGAAAAGGTTGATAATCCGTCGCCTTCCTCTTCTCTCGCTCCTTGGCAGCAAAACCTACTGTCCGCCCACACTGCCCATGCTGCTGCACCAGTAGCGAAACCGGATCCACGACGCTCACCTCGAGCGCATGTTTTTCCCCGTCCATTGGTTTCCTAACCGCCACATCCACTCTCTTCCCCGGCAGAAGCGTGTCATCCTCGATCGTAACCACCCCACCCGATGCCTTGGCTATCTTAGCAACAACGAGCTTCACTGCATCATGAACACGAGACGGGGCGTACTGGTACTTGCACCGAAGAGCATGGTGCGGATCTGACGGGTCCTTGAACTCCACACCGCAAACACACTTGCCAGCAACCAGAAGCTGGTGGACGGGAAGGCCCAAACGGATTGCCGCCGAAATGCCCCACTCCACAGGGGTGAAAGTTGCGTCATCATGCGCTGGAACTGCGGACACCCATGCTGCCGAACCCGGGCCCTGAAGGGAAGTCAAACGGGCCAAGGTAGCATCATCGCGGGCCATGCGCCGCAGAGACTGAAGACTTTCAACCGCCAAGCGACGCTTCTGCGCTGGGAAAAGCTGGAGGGGGGGATTTGTAGTGCAGAGCCCCAAACTCGGCAATTCCTGCCTGACAACAGGCGGGAGCTGGTCAAGGGCCTTGGTAAACCAAGGGTCCAGTAAATCCCCAGCCGGCGGAGTGCGGAAGAACTCACTGAACATCTGCTCCTCGCCCGCTACTCCCAGCTTGACAACAGCACTCGCAGCCTGGCACCACCCACAGACGTAAGAGAGAGGGCTAAGAGTTGCTGCTGAACGAATGCCAAACCCGCCCAAACGAGCCGGGAGGTGCAGCTGCAGGTGAGCCATGCGCGACCTATCAGGACTGAAGTCCCAAGTGTCTGACGGGAAAAGTTGCTCAAAGCACTCTTCCAAAGCCCCATCCCAATCTCTGAAAGCGTCAAGAACCTCAGGACGAGGGGGAACAGTGCGAGTCAAGAAGAGCGGCCGCGCAGACACGGCAACAGCCAACAAGTGGGAGGCAATCTGGGGGTGGTTCAAAATAGGAAGCCAAGGTAGAGGTGATCGCAACTGCAAAAGTCTCTCCCTCAAGCGCGCCACCTCCCAATCCTCCTCTCCAATAGGTACCCCCACCACTGTTAACCCCGTCCACGACTGTTGCATTCCCAGCGGAATATCCCCAGACGCTGCCGCCTCCCCTCTTTCCCACATCCTACACTTGTGCGATTGCACCTCCAAGCCCACCCACTCCAGTCGCTCCCGCAAGACATCGTACGCCGCCAACACCCGCTCCCGCGGGCCAAGAACGTAGGTGTCATCAGCGTAGCTCAAGAAAAGAAGATCAGGGAAATCCTTCATTGTAGGCCCCATAACCAACTGCTGCGTGAAAGCAAAAAGGAAGGGACCAAATGGATCCCCCTGTCGCGAACCCCGCTCGGACGCCAGCATCTCGACAAAGGGGCCTGTGCGAAGGTACAGACCGCTGGGCACCCCATAAAAGACGCGTAAGAAAGGGATAAGGCCAGCAAAAGGAGAATCGCGGAGGTCGTCGAACATCACGTGCCGATGGAACGAGTTGAAGGCATTCGCTACATCGATCTGCAGCGCGCACCACGTCGGATGAACCGCTACAGCCGAGCGGAAAGCATGCGCCAGAATCTCCACCCCCGACTTAGTCCCCACCCCTAGTTGGTTACAAGGAGCGAAGTAGGTCTCCATGTCGGGACGAAGAAGAACGCATAATGCACGCGCCAGAATCCGAGGGAGCACCTCTCCGATAGCCACTGGGCGGACGTCCCCGTTCGGCTTGGATAACCCAACCAAGTTCGAGGCTGCAAGCCAGGGCCGCACCCGCTCAGAAACGCATCCCGAAATCCACTGCCTGAACACCTCCAACAGATGCGGGAGATAGGAAGGCTCCGAGAGAAATGTGTCTCGGAGGTGCTCTGTCATCCATCCTGAGGGGCCTGGTGCTGAGGCTCGCGCTGCGGAATGAATAGCATGCGTGAGGATGTCTTCAGTTAGGTGGGGAAGATGAGAAACGTCTATGCGAAAGTGCTCCACCCACTCAGGAACTGGCACCTCACTGGCCGGGTGCTTTGCTGTCAGCCGGTCTACTGTTAGTTGAGAGGGCTGCGCCAAGTCGCCCGCAGTAAGGCATGCTAGTCCTCGACTCCATTCCCCCACTTGGCACCTCGTGCGACATCGGGCCAAACGGATGGCATCAGCATCTCGCTCAGGTAAGGAGAAGGCAAGAGGTCGCGCCGCCGGAGTCAACGCGGCAGAGGCAGCCTCGAACAGCTGTTGCCATTCCCCTGCCCAGAACTTTCCGAGACGCCCTACTATGGCTGCCCTTCGTCCAAGACCCTCCTTCGCGGGGACTCCCAAAATGAGGCGCGGGAAGGCCAGGAACATCAGCGTCGCCGCCTCATCCCCAGGGGAAGCCTTCAGTCTCTTGAGAATGCAGCACAATGCCAAGCACCCCCAGTCGCGCCCGCTGCGGGACCCGACGAAGAAGCTCTCCCGACACAGAATGAATACTGAAAAAAGTCTCCCAGTCCCACGAAGGCACCGCCCCCCACACCTCCTCGCCGATATCCCGCGGAGGTACTGGATCTGCCCCGAAGACCTCGCTCAGGTTCGGGGAGGAAGTAAGGGCCTGAGCCCGCCGCTGAGCATCTGCCGCTTTACATGCAACTATGTGGCGGGAGGCCGCACCACCAGGCGGAAATGTGTGAAAGCAGAACTCGCAAGGGACACAAGTTGGAGCAAGTGGAGCCGTGTCAGGAGTGGCTGAATTCTCCGCAACCCCCGGTGTGGGGCTTTCCGGAGGGATCGGGGGGGGCTGCTGCTGCTGCTGCTGCTGACGCTTCTGCCGCTGCTGCTGCCGCTGCCGCACGCCCTGAAGTGCTGCCCTCGCCCCCAGCTGCCCCCCTGCGTGCTGCACGCCCTGAGGTGCTGCAGTCACCCCCTGCTGTCCCGCTGCCTGCTGCACGCCCTGGGGTGCTGCAGTCACTCCCTGCTGTCCCGCTGCCTGCTGCACGCCTTGAGGTGCTGCAATCAGTCCCTGCTGTCCCCCTGCCTGCTGCACGCCCTCAGGTGCTGCAGTCACTCCCTGCTGTCCCGCTGTTTGCTGCATGCCCTGGGGTGCTGCAGTCACTCCCTGCTGTCCCGCTGCCTGCTGCACGCCTTGAGGTGCTGCAATCACTCCCTGCTGTCCCCCTGCCTGCTGCACGCCCTCAGGTGCTGCAGTCACTCCCTGTCGTCCCCCTGCCTGCTGCACGCCCTGGGGTGCTGCAGTCACTCCCTGCTGTCCCCCTGCCTGCTGCACGCCCTCAGGTGCTGCAGTCACTCCCTGTTCCCCTGACAGTGGCCGCCGTCGCACCAGCTGGCCTCCCGGACGTTGGCTCGTAAGCGGCCGCCCCAACTCGCCCTCTGCCTGCTGATCCTGCTGATTGCCCGACCGCTGCTTGCCCTGGCCTCCGCGTCGCCTCCTGCCCTTGCCTCGTGGCAGTTGGTCGTCCACGGGCCCCTGCGCCTGAGCGCCCAGCTCACGCAGCTGCTGCCCTCTCTGATCCGTTTCCCCTATCTGCAGCTCCCCAGGAGGAACAAAAAGATCTTGTTGGTGCTCCCCACTGTGGCCCGAGAGCTGTGACACAGGCACCAAATCTGTCTCCATTTCTTGCTGCTCCACTCGAAGTGGGCTCGCTACACCCATGACTTCCCATGTATCACCCACCCAGGTGCCCAGCTGCTGCCCCTGCTGCTCTCCCGGGTGCTGCTCCTCCAGCCTCAGTTCTTGCTGCTCCCCTGGCTGCATTTCCTGCTGCTCCCCTGGCTGCATTTCCTGCTGCTCCCCTGGCTGCATTTCCTGCTGCTCCCCTGGCTGCATTTCCTGCTGCTCCCCTGGCTGCATTTCCTGCTGCTCCCCTGGCTGCATTTCCTGCTGCTCCCCTGGCTGCATTTCCTGCTGCTCTCCTGGATGCATTTCCTGCTGCTCTCCCCATTGTATTTCCTGCTGCTCCCCTGGCTGCAGCTCCTGCTGCTCTCCTGACTGCATTTCCTGCCGCTCTCCTGGCTGCATTTCTTGCTGCTCCCCCCGTTGCATTTCCTGCTGCTCCCCTGGCTGCAGCTCCTGCTGCTCCCCAGGCTGCAGTTCCAACTGCTCCCCCATCTGCATTTCCTGCTGCTCTCCTGGCTGCCGTGCCTGCTGCTCCCCCATCTGGATTTCCTGCTGTTCCTCCCCTATCTGCATGTCCTGCTGCTCCCCTGGCTGCCGTTTCTGCTGCTCCCCTGGCTGCCGTTCCTGCTGCTCTCCTGGCTGCATTCCCTGCTGCTCCCTCATTTGCAGTTCCTGCTGCTCCCTAAGCCACAGTTTCTGCTGCTCTCCTGGCTGCCATCCCTGCTGACCTTCGCCCAGCTGCTCATGCTGCCGGGGAGGCAGCCCACCCTGCTGACTCCGCTGTTGTTGCCTTTCAAACTGCTGCTCCTGCAACTCACTTGGCTGCCTTTCCGACTGTTGCTCGTGCTGGCCCGCGAGGCGCCCTCGTTGAGCAGTCCCGCTACGACCACGACCGCGACCTCGACCACGACGGCGCACGCCCTCTTGCCCCGTGCTCGCGGGCTGCACACCTTGTCCTTGCGCGCTCCGAAAGAGAAAAGTATGTTCCACAGCTCCAGCCCATCCCTTTAGAGACGCCCCCGTTCGTGCCTTCGGGAAGGGATTGATGTCTCTAGTCTCCCCTGCAGCCACCGGCAGACCCTGCTGCATCGCCGACAGCGTTTCCGGTTGCTCCCTCCCTGGTTTCCGTCCCTGTTCCCCACGCTCCCAATGCTCCTCCTCGAGTAACTCCCCCTGGACCTTTGTCGGCAGGCCCAGCTGGCCCTCCGCCAGACGGCTCGGCTGCCTCCTCAGCACCTTTTCCGGCAGGCCTGCATCCGTCACCCCCTGCTGCCCACCTGCCCCGCACTCCCGGCCCTCATCCGCCAGCAGGGCCCCCTGCACCTCCTGCCTCCCCGCTGTCGACTCCGCCTGCTCTGCCGTCGCCCACTCTTGCCGACCGCCCGTGCCAGCTACCAACAAACGCCTCAGCTCCTGCCGTCGTGCCAAGCGCGGTCCAAGTGGAGCCCTGCTAGGACCCACTGAAGCTCCAAGAGTGCCGGGCGACTCTGTTGCCGTGGCACCAAGTGGAAGCTCGCGCCGCCGCCTATTATGCAGCTCCTGCAAGTGCCGGCGTTGCGCCTCCCACGCCGCCACTGCCCTGTCCATCCCCGGATCACTTGGTTCCTGCCCACGCCCATCTACCCCTCGGGTGTCTTGTGCATCCACCAGCCCAGAGGATGCGTGTGGGCAATTGGGCGATGCTTGCTGGTCTACCGAGGGCGTGCGTGGGGTAACAGCCGCCTCCCGCTGTTCACCAACCGTGAGTGGTGCCTCAGCCAAAGGAGGCTGAGCATCCCCATTACTAAGCCGCTGCGAAGTTCCTGAGAGCGGCGGTACACCGAGCATGTCGTTGGTGCTCATGGGGGCGGCTGGTGCCTCGCGGTGTCGTTTGCATGGTGTCCCCTCCGAGCAAAGTCGGTCTACCGAGCTCAGGCGCCGGAGACCGAGGAGGAGTGGCTGCGTAGGGCCTACCCAAGGCCGCTTGAGAGTGTTTGCTTGGGGCTGCGCTACATATTCCCGAGCGCTAGTGCCTGAGTGCCTGTCTGGGTCAGCAAGTGCTTCCGCCTCGCCATGCGGTGCCTGCGTAGGTGTGTGCTCGTGCTGCAAGTCGGCCATGCCGTGGATCCTGTAGCGTCTGTCTAGATCCGCGCTCTTCAGTTCCAGCTCCTAGCAACAAGAGAGCCCGGAATTAGTTATTTTATTTCTCATGACACTGTATGGGTTTATAAAAACTAACTACTTGTAGGAGCACATGTGGCTCCGTCAGTATAATGCTTATCGAGGACGCATAGAAATCCCCTTTGGTCAGCATCTTTCATTCAGAACCACGTCAGCTGAATGGCTGGAATGTTTAGCGAAACCCCCTTCTCATACTGCCCCACGTGGCGGATTTGGCCCTTGCAATCACCAGACTGACCAGTGACAGGCGGCTGGTTACTGATCACACCGCACAAGCCATCCACCAGGTGCACGCATTGAAACGACACACCCATCCGAATTCCAATTTTGCTTCTCCGTCCCGCGCGCACACACCTCATCTGCCTCTGCTGCTAGTTTCCCAGCCTCCGTTTTACTGGAATCCATAAGCAGCTGATCAAAGCTCAATTTCGATTTGTATATTCCGCTCCTCGATATAAGACGTAACTCGTGCGACTGCTGACCCACGGCCTGACAGCATCACCGGTCGCTCTGTTCGCCAACACAATACGGGCCATGGCGAGCCTTGCCGCTGGTGAGTGGCAACGAAACGGCGCTGAACGATTTATGAAACATTCGGAAACGTGCACGCTACTATTTGACCAAATTTGACCAGCAGAACAGAATAAGTCTTTCCGTAATGATTAACAGCAAGGCATGCTGCTGCTTCCAATCAATCTCCAGTCATTCAATTGGATTCATCTCTCTACGTGGAGAAAAAGTCCACTGTTTTGAGGAAAAAAATGAACATCATTTTTTCTCTTGGTGCCTCCCTCTCTCCCTCCTTCCTCCTCTTTCTCCATCTCTGCGCTTCCCTCCTCCCCTCTCTACCTCTCAATTTCCATCCTCTCTCCTTCCTTCATCTCCCGTTCCACTCGCCATTGTGCAGCACCCCATCTCATCGTCGCAGGAGCACCTTCCCTCTCCGCCTCCTCCCCCTCGCGCTCCCTCTCCTCCTCCGCCCGCCACGCCTCCTTCCCCGCCACGCGCCTGCGCACGAATCCGCGGAGATCAGCAGCAGCAGCGGGGAGTGTGTCCGTGCGCGCGCACACGGAGCCGGCGCAAGCAGCAGTGGACCGCTCAACCTGCCCTCCGGTGAAGGCGGAGGTTCCGCTTAGCGCGCTCGATGCGCTCGACCTCCGTGTGGGCGTCGTTGTACGTTCGACCGCAATGCTCCTCCCCCAGCCGCAGCATCCCTCCTTTTCCCGCCTCTCCCCCTTTCTCCCCACCCTCCTCCACCTCACTGCTCCTCCCCCCTCCTCCCCCCACCTCCCCTCCTCCCGCCACGCGGTCCTTATCGTCTTCCCCTTTCCCCTTCATGTTTTGGAATCGTTCTTCTCCGCTGGTCACTTTCTCAATTGCCCATTGTCAATTGCCCTCGCGTGGTCATCCCATCTCGCGTCGCACTTTCCACAAATTCCCATTCACTCATCAGAAGCCCGTGCCGCATCACATTTCATCATAAGAGCACCATCTACCTCCTTTCCTCCTCCCCCGACCCACTCTTTCCCTCTGCTTCTACTTCTCGTTCCATCCCCGCTCGTCTCTTTCTCCTGCGCGCACACCCCATTTCCCTGGTTGGCTATGTCGTCCTCCCAGGTGGACGCCAAGACGGTGCCAGACGCAGAGATGACGGCCAAGAGAGGCAAGCCCACTGACAGCCGCACCTTGCTGCAGGTTAAGGTAAGACACGGCTGCAGGGCTGCAGAGGAGATATAAGACCTGGAACAAGAAGAGAAACCATGATGCTGCGCCTCTCCCTCGTGGCCTGACCATCATTACCAGCATCATCAGCATCATCAGCATCACCATCAAGAGGCAACAAGAACAGCGATAAAGCAGACACAAGAGCAATGTTATTATAAAAAAAAGGCAGCAGCGGTTGCAGTTGAAATGTGTACCTGCTGAGTCTTTCCTCGTTGTCACATCACCCATGCCCGGCAGGTTGATGTGGGTGGAGAGGAGCGAGTGGTGGTGTCCCCGTGCCGGTATGTGATGGACGTGGAGGATGCCGTGGGCAAGAAGGTGCTCATTGTCGTCAACGTGCCTCCTGCTGAGATCAGCGGCATTCGAAGCCATGGTGAGTATATGGTGATGTGTGGTCTCCTGTGAGAGGTTGTTGGGATGGAAGTGGAATTGGCAGGATGGCAGTGGCGATGACAGGGTGGCAGTGGCGATGACAGGGTGGCAGTGGCGATGACAGGGTGGCAGTGGCAATGGCATGATCGGGAGTAGACGGCATGAGCTTCTTGTACTTACATCTGGCCCGTCTACACTAATCTTGAATCGTTCGCTTGGTCTCTTAGCCTCACTGCCTTCCGTCTTATTGATTGTTGGAAATCCCACTTCCAGGTGTTATCCTGACTGGCTTCAACTATGATCCAACGCCCATGCCCCGTAGCTTCAAGGTCATCTTGCCCGGCTTGGGTCGGTTGCCACCTGGTTCCCAGGTCCTGCCTGTTGCCGTTCCAAGGTAGCCCTTAGTGTTGTAAATGGCGTTCTGTAGACATGCCTGTGAAAATGTGAAGCAGTATTGCAGTTTTTTGCTTCCAGGTGCTGCTTGTTAGATGAGTTTCCGTCTCTTACCTGAATAACATACTAGCAGACACTTCGAGCTAGCACTGTTCGGATTGAGTTTTTGGCGTTGCGTTCATATAGGCAAGGCTAAATTTCCTAGAACCACGCATAGTAGTGAGCATTCAAAACGGCGTTGCATATTTTATACGGTGTATGTTAGAGTTTGCAACAATGTAGAACCTCCGCGGTCTCGTCAGGTTGACGAGATGACCCGCTCACTCGCCAGCATCCTCCGCCTCCCCTTTTCTCGAGTTGCACGCGCACCCGCGTCCCATCCCCTGCTCTGCACTGCTCCCCACCATCGAGAACAATTCCCCCTTCCCCTCAATTCCCAATTCGTATTTCCCGCCCGCTGCATCCCGCCCGCTCCGCGTTCCCTCCCCAGCGGCCTTGCTCCTCCGAATCTGCATCCCATTCGTAATTGCCTGGGATTTACCGCCATCTCCTCCCATCCCGTCCCATCTCTCTAGTCTGACAAGTCCCACTCCTGTCCTGAGCCCGACTCCCCCGAGTGCTGTACAGCTCGATCCGACAACTCGTTTTTATTTTGCTGGGCTAGGTTCTCGGTCTGCGATCGAGTCGATCCGCGTGGATTTGCTTCGTCTAGCAGGATTCAAGGGTTAGGTTTGAATCGAAAGATATCGAGTTCGGTCGATCCGGATTTGTATACGTTCTTTTATCATCTGCGGCCGCTTCGAGGGGCCATATTACCCGGCCTTTGCTGCTATAAGAGTATTTAAGACGAAGCCGATAATAAAGGAGACAAAGTAGTTTGGAGAATGAGCAGCAGCGAGGGAGCGGCCGTGGCGACGGCCACGACCGGCGTAGTTAAGGAGGAGAATAATCCAGCAGTCGTGGAATCGAGTGCGAGATCCGGCGACAGGGAGGCCAATGGGACGATCGGCGACGTCAAGCGACCAGGCGACGACGCTGTGGCACCACAGGATGACGACGACGTGGTGGAGCAGGCGAAAGAGGGCGACGATCGCGAGCCGACACCGCCTGATACGGTGTGAAGCGGCGGTGGGAGTGTACGATGATACGCGAATGGGCTTCTCGATTTATCATGCGCGAGGGAGATTAGTAGAGAACCTAGCGCGATGGTCTAGACGGTTGTAGGGTGTGGTGACGGATAGTAATGGTAAAGGAGAAAGAGAGAGAGAGGGAGGGAGAGAGGAGAAAAGGGAAAACGGCGGATCTTGTATTGCGTGGTGACGGAACATTGTATCCGGCAGAGAGCGCACAGGCGAGGTGCACGTGTAAGGAAGAAAGGGCGAAAGTACTGATGGAGATTCACATATTAGCTCGTCTGGTAGTGTTGCGCTGTCACAGCATAGCACTGATCACCACGGATGGTCACAATCCGTCACCCTCAGCGAGATTGCGTACACACAGGACTGGTCACAAGCCGTCATCCTCCTGTCCGTCTTCCATAGCTGTCTCTCTTACGCCTCTCCACGCTTCTCCCAATCTTCCCTTCCCCGCCCCTGCGTGTCCACTTCCCCGCCCTTGCCCAACCCCCCGGCTCACCCGCACAGGACGACGCAGTTGAAGATGATCCGATAGTGCCCGACCCGTTAATCACAACGGACATGCTCGCGGAGCAGCGGCAGCTGGAAGCGGAGCGGAGGCAGCGGGAGGAGCAGCAGGACGCGGAGAGCGAGGAGCGCATGAGGCGCGAGGGTGTGGAGTCGGCAGCGCTGACGAAGCTGGACGTGCTTCTGGAGAAGACGAAGCTGTTCTCGGAGTCGCTGCTGCAGCAGATGGACGACATCACTCTGCTGGTGGGTGGTGGGGGGAAGGGGAGGGAAGAAGGAGGGAAGAAGGGAGGGAAGAAGGGAGGGAAGAAGGGAGTGAGGGAGGGAGTGTGTGAGGGGGGGAGAGTAGACGTCCTGTGCTGTGATATGGACTTTGCTTGTTCGTGGTTGGAAGAGTGGGTGCATGAGAGGGCGTGGAGTCGGCCGCTCTGACGAAGCTGGACGTGCTTCTGGAGAAGACGAAGCTGTTCTCGGAGTCGCTGCTGCAGCAGATGGACGATATCACTCTGCTGGTGAGGAAGGGTGGGTGAAGGGGGGGAAGGAAGAAGGGAGGGAAGAAGGGAGGGGTGGGAGGGAGTGTTTGAGGGAGGGAGAGTTGGCGTCCTGTGCTGTGGCATGGACTTTGCTTGTTCGTGGTTGGAAGAGTGGGTGCATGAGAGGGCGTGGAGTCGCTGCTGCAGCAGATGGACGACATCACTCTGCTGGTGAGGAAAGGGGGGTGACGGGGGAGAGAGGGAGGGAGGGAGGGGAAGAGGGTAGGAGGGAAGGAGGGAGGGAGGTAGGGATGGAGGGAGGGAAAGAGGGTAGGAGGGAAGGAGGAAAGGAGGGAGGGAGGGATGGATGGAGGGAGGGAGGGAGGAAGGGAGGGAAGGGAAGGAGAGAGGGAGGTTGGGAAGGGAGGGAGGGAGGGAGGGAAGGAGACAAGGAGGGAGGGAGGGATAGAGTGGGAAGGAAAGTTGGGGAGGAAGGAGGGAGGGTTCTTGGTAACGAGAGTGAACGTGCCATGGCACGGACTTTACTAGTCAGTGGCTGGGAATGTTTATGCGTGAGTGCAAATGTGGGAGTTACAGGGCAAGGAACAAAGCAAAGTTGTTTTGTGTTCAATGTGTAATGGCGGGAACAAGGTCAAAGTCTTTGGTGCTGCTGCTCTGTATTCCTTTCCGCTCCTACCCTTTATCTCCTGATCCTTGGTCCTTTTCCTTTCAGTCTTCCTCAGCCCACACACACCCACGCCCCTGCCATGCCATGACAGGCATGGTGTATCCCACCCGCCACACATTTCCCGTTCTCTCCCTTTTCACGTCTCTCTCCATCTGCCGTCCTGTCCTCTTCTTCTCTCTCCCCGCTAACAACCTCCCTTTCTTCCTTCCTTGCTTCCCCCTCTGCTGTCGCCTCCCCCATCCAACCCCCCCCTGCCTCTGCCCACACACAGCCTGTCCCTACACCCCCGCCACAAGCAGACTCCAAGGGCGAGGGGGGAAAGAAGCGCAAGGGAGGCGGCACAGGCAAAGGGAGAGGGGTGAGTGGGTGACGGTGGTGGATGCTGGCTGGATGATGGGTGGGTGGGTGGGTGGGTAATTGTGCAGTTGTGGACTCTTTCCTGCACATCCTGTGCTGCTTTTCTAGGCTCTTATCGTACCACTTCTTCTCGTTCTGAGAGGCTTCTTTCCTCCTCCCTCGTCCCTTTCACCGATGCTCATCCACCAATCTTCTCCTCTCGACGCCATATCCAGCGAAAGAAAAGCAAGACCGATGTGCCAGAGGAAACTCTCCAAGAGAAGATCTCAGCCGCTCCTTCCGCAGCAATCAACGGCAGCGGCGACGCCGGCAGTGGCGCAGCAACCACCAAGGAGGAGGAAGAAGCCGCGTTGCTCCGAGAGCAGCGGGAAATCGCACCGAACCTCACAGGATGCACGCTCAAGTGGTATCAGATCAAGGGCGTCAAGTGGCTGATTTCCCTCTGGCAGAACGGGCTGAACGGCATCCTGGCGGATCAGATGGGGCTGGGAAAGACGGTGCAAACTATCGCGTTTCTAGCGCATCTCATGAGCCATGGGATCTTTGGGCCGTTTCTTGTTGTGGCGCCGCTTTCGACGCTGTCTAACTGGGTCAACGAGGTCAAGAGGTGGGTGCGTTGTGAGGAGGAACTGGGGAGGTGAGGTGGGCGTGGAAAAGGAGGGAGGAGGGAGGAGAGGTAATTGCGGTGTGAGGAGAGGAGGAGAAGGGGAGGGGGGGGGGTGTGTAAGAATGGTGTTAAGGAGGTTGCATGGTGTTGTGAGGGTTTCTTGTGCTGCGTGTGCAGCGCGCTGCCAACTTCACTCATTCGAGCTGGGTGAACTAGAGATTAGACATGCAATCTTAAACATCTCAATTGTCATTCCTTTCCTCTCTATTTCATCCAACCGAACTGCACACCCCCCTTTTCTTCCCCCCTTCTCGCTCCTGACCCACTGTTCCCCTACTTCCGCCCTCTGTCACCCTTCCCCCTCCACCCCCCCCTCTCGTTTCACTCTTGACCCGGAACATCTCTCCATGTTAACACCCATGACAGGTTTGTGCCTACAGCGAATGTGCTTCTATACCACGGAAGCAAGGACGTGCGGACAGAGCTCCGGGAGAAGCACATGCCCAAGCAGGTACAGGGGCTGAGTTTTGAGTCGACTCAAAACTTGACTCGTTACACGCGGATTTTGAGTCGACTCAAAACTCGACTCATTACACGCGGATTTTGAGTCGACTCAGAACTCGACTCATTACACGCAGAGCTCCGGGAGAAGCACATGCCAAAGCAGGTAGGGGCTCGCTGCATGGCTAGCCATGGCAGGAGGAGAAGGCGGGTATCGTTCTCTGAGTGAGTCGAGAAAATCTACTGCGGTAATCTGGGCACGGCAGGTAATGAGGCTGGTTGGTCATGGCAGGAGAAGACGGTGTAGACTGCAATTTCAGTGAGTTGACCTGATAACCACCAGACCGGGGTAGCTTGGGCATGCACGTGCCATGGGCTGGTGAGGAGGGGAAAGAAGGGGTGCGTGCGTTGGAAGGGGCGATTGTGGAGGTGGAGTGGAGGGAGAGAAGATCCTGGAGTGTGACTGATGTGAGTGGGAGAGAAGAGAAGCTTATATTTTATCCTGTACTTTAGTGTGAACACAACAAGCCAATCCATTTCCCTCGCCATCCCCCTCCCCGTTGCCCTCTCTCTCCGCCCCCCTCCCCGATTTCTGCCCCCATCTCCATCCCCACCCCCCTCCTCATCCCCCTCTTCACCCCCCTTTCCATCTCCCTCCCCAACCCTCCCCGCGTCCAGTTCCCCAACCCCCTCCCCACGTCCCCGGGGCTAGGTGCGGGAGGGCTTTCCGATAATAGTGACGTCGTTTGAGGTGGCCATGTTTGACCGCCGCCAGCTGCAGCGTCACTTCGAAATCCCCCCCAAACCACCCCCTCCTCCTCCCCCCCTCTCCCCTCCTGCATCCGCCTCCCCTCCCATCTCCTCACGTTCCCTTCCGCGGGCAGGTCCGAGAGGGCTTTCCGATAGTAGTGACGTCGTTTGAGGTGGCCATGTTTGACCGCCGCCAGCTGCAGCAACTTCTGAGGCGTTCCAAAAGTCCCCCCAAACCACCCCCCCTCCCTCCCGCATCGGCCTCCCCGCCCCTCTCCCCACCTCCTTGTTGGCAGGTGCGGGAGGGCTTTCCGATAATAGTGACGTCGTTTGAGGTGGCCATGTTTGACCGCCGCCAGCTGCAGCGCTACCACTGGAAGTACATCGTTGTGGACGAGGTGTGTGGGGCGTGGGCGTGGGATTTGCGATAGGGGGTTGGCCTGGATGTGTGGGCTTGGGGGGTGGCCTGGTTGTTGTTTGTGGGCGTGGGCTGTAGTAGGTGCTTGTGTGGTCGCTGTCGCTTGGCTGTGCCAGCCAGCTGCATTGCTACCACTGGAAGTACATCGTTGAGGAAGTACACAACACACCCATACGCATGCACCCCATACCCTCCCAAACCCCACTACCTCCCTCCTCTCCTCCCCCGGCCCCGTACCCCTTCCATCAGGGACACCGGCTGAAGAACATGCACTGTCGGTTGATCCGGGAGCTGAGGCAGCTGCCAGCAGAAAACACGCTGCTGCTGTCAGGCACGCCCCTGCTCCTTTCCCCACCCACCCTCTCTCCCGCCGCCAGGGCCACCGGCTGAAGAACATGCATTGCCGGCTGATTCTCTTCTCATGCGCCCCAAACCCTCCTTTAAACCACTCCACGCTCCTCCTTCTCCTAACCCTCCCCGCCATCAGGGACACCGGCTGAAGAACATGCACTGCAAGTTGATTCGGGAGCTGCGGCAGCTGCCAGCGGAGAACACGCTGCTGCTGTCAGGCACCCCCCTGCAGAACAACCTGCAGGAGCTCTGGTCGCTGCTCAACTTCATCCTTCCTGCCATCTTCTCCGATCTCCATGAGTTCACCTCCTGGTACGCTGTCAAATCCAACCAAAAGGTGGGTGGGTAGCAGCAAGCTCTGTCTCTCAACAACCTGCAGGAGCTCTGGTCGCTGCTCAACTTCATCCTCCCCGCCATCTTCTCGGATCTCCATGAGTTCACCTCCTGGTATGCTGTGCGCTTCCTGGGTGTGTGTGTGTGTGTGTGGGTGGGTGGGTGTCTGCGTGTGTGTGGGGGTGTCCATGCGGGTTTGCTGGTGCGTGCGTGTGTGCGTGAGTGTGCGTGCGAGCGTGCGAGCGTGTGCATGTGTGATGTGTCTGCTGCGTACATGCATTGATCCAGCAGGGCCAATACGCACACCTGCTGTTTCATCCCTTTTTCTCCCCCCGCCCTCTCTCCCTCCCCTCCGCTCCTCCTTCCCTCTCTCTCCTCCTTCACCCCATTCACCCCAGGTTCGACTTGGCAGGGCGGCAAAGTGGTGGGGTGGATCAGAAGGTCTTTGACAACGAGCGGAGGTCACAGGTGGGTGGGACTTCTCCTCTTTCCAGACGTCTCAGAAGTAGTCTTGGAATACGGGAATTGGTCACAGGGTGGGTGGTTTGGGCGTGGGTTGAGACGTCCCAACAGTCTCGTCTGTGTTTCTTCCACCGCGCCCTGCCAACCCTGCCTGTCAGGTGGTGGCCAAGCTGCACCAGATCCTGCGCCCCTTCCTGTCCGCTTACTTAGCCAGCTCACTGGTCTCATCACTGTCACTTCCTTCCTGCCCTGCCTTCTCACCCTGCCTGTCAGCTCGTGGCCAAGCTGCACCAGATCCTGCGCCCCTTCCTGCTTGTCTCCTTACTCGACTCAAAAATCCCATCGCTGTCTCTTCCCATCCTGCCCTGCCCGGCCTCCCTCGCGTGTCAGGTGGTGGCGAAGCTGCACCAGATCCTGCGCCCCTTCCTGCTGCGGCGGATCAAGGCAGACGTGGAGCAGTCACTGCCCAAAAAGAAAGAGATCGTGCTCTATGCGCAGGTACTTGGGTTGCCTGGGCTGGGCTTTTGAGGCGCCTCAAAAATAAAGAAAGAGATTGTGATGCATGCTCAGGTGCTTGGGTTGCCTGAGTTGGGTGTGGGCATGTTACATGGAGAGAGGGAGGGTACCTGGGTTGGTGGGTATGTGTTACGAGGAGGAGGGTGTGTTCTGAGATATATGCCAAGTACACACTTGTGCGCGGAGGTGTTTGGGTTGAGGAGGCTACAGCAAGGTTTTCGCACCATGCGCTGTAGGTTTTTGAGATCGCAAGAATGGTCCTTTCTTCTTGCATTTATATTATATACAGTATGCTAACCCATAGACTGACAGTTGATGTCGATGGTGCGCTGCACGTTATACTCCGTAACTCTCGGCCTCCGGGCCTCGGGGCCTCCGGGCCTCTAGACGGCCGTAAAGAAAGAGAAGGTCCACGTTCTCTTCCCTCCTCTGTGCCACTTCTTCTTTGCTTTGCGTTTCTCCAAATGGTACAATATATCAGTATTCCTGCTCCTCCCTTGTAGCCAATCGTCCAAGCCCGTCAACCAAGGCTCATAATATAACCTCCCCCGCTGCTCCCACCTCACCCATCACCCGTCACACTGTTCTGTGTGCACGCATGTGTGCGTGCGTGCGTGTGTGCGTGCGTGCGTGTGTGTGTGCATGCATGTGTGTGTGCATGCATGTGTGTGTGCACGCATGTGTGTGTGCATGTGTGTGTGCATGTGTGTGTGCATGCATGTCTGTGTGCACGCATGTGTGTGTGCATGTGTGTGTGCATGCATGTGTGTGTGCACGCATGTGTGTGTGCATGCATGTGTGTGTGCATGCATGTGTGTGTGCATGCATGTGTGCATGCATGTGTGTGAGCAGCTGACAGCACACCAGAGGGAGTTCCAGGACCATCTCGTGCAGCGCACTCTCGAAGACTTTCTCAACTCCACCATCGCCACCTGTACTGCCCCTCCTGCCTTTTTAAGACGTCTCAATAGTCCCCTCCTGCCCCTCCTGCCCCTGCTGCCCCTCATGCTCCTCATGTCCCTCCTGCCCCTCGTGCCTCATGCCACCCACCCAAGCAGCCACATGCCCACCCACCATCACGTTCTCTTGCCCTTTCTTTATCTCGGATGATCCTTTGTAGTGATCAGCAATGTGCATACAGGTAGGCTCATGTACGCAGTTTATTGAGCTAACGATAACCTACGATAGCTCGAGGCCCGATTAGAGCGCGTGCAGTGCTGGAATCATGTGACTTTTGAGTCAAGTCAAAAGTCACCTCATGAGCACGTGCAGTGCTGGAATCAGAATCACGTTCGAGAATTCTCTGAAGTGATTCGTGCAGTGAGTCCTCAAGCAGAAGGGGCTCAGAGTAGCCTGCCCAAGGCGCCGCCACCGCCTGATCCACCTCTCTGTGTTCTCTCTCTCCACGTCCTCCTCTTCTCTGTTTGAGAATGCACAAAAGAGTGGCACCAACACCATGACTTTGCTCCCACCTCCATTGTTCCCCCCACCCCCTCCTCCAATGCTCCTTACCTGCAACACGCTCTTTCCTCCCCTCCCCACCAGCCATGTCACGGACTCGTCTCAACAACGTGGTCATGCAGCTACGCAAGAACTGCAACCACCCGGACCTCCTCTCCTCGCAGTTCGATGGCTCCTGTACGCCTCCTCCGCTCCCCTCCCTCCTTCCATCCCGTCCCTCCTTCGCTTCCTTCCTGCGCTCCGTCGCTCCTGCCCTCTTTAAGTTGCAGAGCTTTTATAACCTGCCTGCCTGCCAACTCTGTCTCTCCTTCCAAATTCCAATCCCTTCTCACAATGCACGCGCACCTGCACGTGCACCCACACGCACACACGCTCACCCGCATGCACGCACCCACATGCACACCCGCACACACGCTCACCCACATGCACGCACACACGCACATGCACGCCCCTCCCCCCCCCCCCCCCCCCCCCCCCTCTAACCCCCCTCACACACGCACCCGCACCCATGCACACCCCACCAGACATGTACCCACCTGTGGAGGAGATAGTGGCACAGTGTGGCAAGCTGAAGCTGCTGGACCGATGATTGAGTCGAGTAGACTCAAGAAACCCCACCTCCCTCCCCCCACACGGACACGCACATAACCCCCAGACATGTACCCGCCAGTGGACGAGATGGTGGCGCAGTGTGGCAAATTGAAGCTGTTGGACCGCCTGCTGCCGCAACTCAAGGCCCGGGGGCACAAGGTAGGGGCGGAAGGGAGAGAGCAGAATTGGAGAGAGTGTGGGGGGAAGAGTGGCAGGGGAGAGGGAGCAAGGGCGAGAGAGCAGGCGCAGAAGGGGACACGGCTACCCGCCAGTGGACGAGATGGTGGCGCAGTGTGGCAAATTGAAGCTGTTGGACCGCCTGCTGCCGCAACTCAAGGCCCGGGGGCACAAGGTAGGGGCAGCGGGGGGATGAGGAGGGAGGCGAGTGGGGAGAGAGTGGCAGGGGGGAGGGAGCAAGAGCAGAAGGGGAGGAGGGGGGCAAATAATGATGAAGCGGTGGGGGAGGAGGGGGGGAAAGGATGCACAGGGCATGGGGAGAAAAGAAAGGAGCCTTTTGTTTATTCAGGGCAGGCCTGAATCTGCCCTCAATGCTCCTCTTGTTCGTATATATTTTGCCTGCCCCTCTCCTCCGGCCTGTGGTTGCCTTAGCTCCAGTGAGTCCCTTGCCTGCCTGCCTGCCTGCCTGCCTGTGCATGTCTGTGGTTCCCTTCTCGTGAATGAATCATGATCACCGCCTGCTCACATACTGTTTCGACACGTCTTCAAACATGTCCCTAAAATTCGCCCCGAAACCCTCTTTTGTGTTTGTTCCAAAGCTGTCTGTGTAACTGTGTCCCCCCCAACCGCCGGCGGGCTCATCCTAACCCTCTTCCTGCCTGTGTGTTCCCCCTTTCCCCCACTCTCCCCCGGGGACCCCACCTCCCGCCCGCCTCTTTCTCCCCAGGTGCTCATCTTCTCGCAGATGACGCGCCTGCTGGACATCCTGGACTATCATCTGGAGGACTCTTTTGGGAGTCCACTTGGAACCTGCCCGTGTATTGCCCCGTCCCCCGCCGCCCTCCCTTCCCCCCAGGTGCTCATTCTCTCGCAGATGACGCGCCTGCTGGACATCCTGGACTATCATCTGGAGGACTCTTGTGGAGGCGGCTCAAAACCCCCCTTCCTGCCCATGTGTTGCCCCTTCCCCCCTCCGTTCCTCCCTCCCCCTCCGTTCCTCCCTCCCCCTCGTTCCTCCCTCCCCCTCCTTCCCCTCCTTCCCCTCCGCCCCCCAGGTGCTCATCTTCTCGCAAATGACGCGCCTACTGGACATACTGGACTACTATCTGGAGGAGCGCGGCCACCTCGCAATTGGCTTCCTGCATGTGTGGTGGTGTGGTGCCCCCCTCCCTCCCCCCCACTCCCCTCCCCAGGTGCTCATCTTCTCGCAGATGACGCGCCTGCTGGACATACTGGACTACTATCTGGAGGAGCGCGGCCACCACCCCTTCCGCCTCGATGGATCCGTCAAGCTCGACGACCGCCGGCAGCAGGTGGGCGGGAACGGGGTGAGGGGAGGAGTCTGTTTTTTTCGCCTCAGAAGGACACTATCTAGAGGAGGGGGGCCCACCACCCGTTACGCCTCGATGGATCCGTCAAGCTCGACGACCGCCGGCAGCAGGTGGGAGGGCAGGGAGAGAGATGGTGGTGAGGGAGGTGGTGACCGGAGGGAGGGGATGGGAAAGGGGTAGTATTTCGAATTGACTCAAGATTGGCGGCAGGTGGGAGAGAATCGGTTGTGTGGGGAGGGGACGTCTTTCACTTTCGACTTACAATGCGCGACCCGTGTTGTGGTGCCTCCCCTCCACCCCCATCCCCTCCCCTCGCCTACCCCCCTCTCTCCCCTCCCCTCCCCTCCCCTCCCCTCCCCTCCCCTCCTCTCCCCTCCCCTCCCATCCCATCCCCTCCCCCCCTCCATCCCCCTGTCTACAATAGTCCAGAAGCGTTCATTTCCTCAGCCCCAGTTCCCTCCATCCCCCTCTACTCCTCTCCACCCCTCTCCACCCCTCTCCATCTCCCTTTTTCCCCCTGGGTGCGGGTGGCAGATAGAGGAGTTCAACACCAGTCCAGAGGCGTTCATCTTCCTGCTCAGCACGCGGGCAGGCGGGTTGGGAATCAACCTCACAGCAGCGGACACCGTGATCATCTACGACTCGGACTGGGTGAGCACAGGCAGTTATCATCTGCAACGCGTGGGGGGAGGTTTGACCCCCAGGCACGGCACAGGCTGGGAATCAACCTCATGGCAGCAGACACCGTTATCAACTAAGACTCTCACTGGGTGAGTCACTTGTACGGTACTATAGCTTTTATGCTCTTGGAGCATTGACTGGGTTTCCTTCCCCTGCCCCCCCCGCCCTTCCTCTCCCTCCCGCCCCCCTACACCCCCCAGAACCCCCACCAGGACATGCAGGCCATGGATCGCTGTCACTGCTGGTTCGTCCCGCTCATACTCCCCATCTCTTCCCCCCTGCCCCCCTATCCCCCCTTCGGCGCTCTGCAGAACCCCCACCAGGACATGCAGGCCATGGATCGCTGTCACCGCATAGGGCAGACGCGCCCCGTGCACGTGTACCGCCTTGCCACTGCCCACTCCGTGGAGGTGAGGGGGTGATGGCAGTAAGGGGGGAGGGTAAGATGAGAGGTGAGTGCAGACGTGCGCCGTGCACGTGTACCGCCTCACCACTGCCCACTCCGTGGAGGTAAGGGGGGGGGGGGGATAAGTGAGGGAGGGGACGTCAGGGGGGTCAGGGGGAATGAATGAGGGGTAAGGGGGGTTTGAATGAGTGGAGTGTAGGATGCGGCATGGAAGGTCCACACACCCACCTCGTGCACGAGTCCAGCCTGGGTCGTTCACCTCCAATTCTTGCACGGGGTGTCTCTTGAGAGATCTCAACAGCAACTCACAACGTTACTCTCCCTGTCTGTGGAAACCCCATTTTTCTCTTTTCGCCTCTCATTGTCGCCGCCTCCCTGCTTGCCATTACCCCTACTGTTGCATCTTAGATTTGCAAGTGCTTTGAGAAGAATCACAACACCCTCTCCACCTCCCGCTCTCCTCCTTCCCCCACCCCTCCATTCAGTGTAGGGTGTTGGATGTGGCGCGGGGCAAGTTGAAGCTGGAGCATCTTTTAACTGTCAGGGTGATCGAGCTATGCGTTGAGGCGATTCACATCACACCCCTCTCTTCCTCCCCCTCTTCCTCCCAACCCCCTTCCCCCCCCCCTCAAAACAGTGCCGGGTGTTGGATGTGGCGCGGGGCAAGTTGAAGCTGGAGCATCTGGTGATCGAGAAGGGGCAGTTCCAGCAAGACAAGGCCGCGCCTGCCAAAACCAAGATCGACGTGAGCGAGGGGAGGGGGGATATGGGGGAAACGGGGGAAAACGGGGGAAAACGGAGGAAATTGGGGGGGAACTGGGGAAAACGGGGGAAAACGGGGGAAAACGGGGGGAATTGGGGGTAGGAGGGAATGGTAGGATGTGTCGTGCGATGAAGGACTGTTGATGTGCGCTTCCCACCCCCCCCCTTCCGTTCCTTTTGCCACCCCTTGCCTCCCTCCCGCGCTCTCTGTTCCTCTCTTGCAACACACCCACACACACCTGTCACCATGCTTCTCCTGTCACCGTCCTTCTCCTCTGCCCCGCCACTCCTTCCCCCCCCGCACATGCACAGGAATCGGAGGTGCTGTCGCTGCTGCGCCCGGAGCGCTCAAAACACGATGAGCTGGTGCAGTCAGCAGAGATCAACCTGTGTTACAAACACTCTCTCAAAAACACTCTCTCCTCCCCCCACCACACCCTGCCCCCCCCATGCACAGGAGTCGGAGGTGCTGTCGCTGCTGCGCCCGGAGCGCTCACAGCACGATGAGCTGGTGCAGTCTGCAGAGATCAGCGACGAGAACTTTGACCTCCTGCTCGATCGCACCGACATGCTTCACTCTCCACCCACTCCTCCTCCTCGTGCTGCTGCTGGTGACGATGCGAAGGGGAGCGGTGAAGGGTCGGGCGGTGGGGGGGAGAAGGTGCCTGGTGTTGTGCGGTCGCTGCCAGTTGCCGGGCCTGGATGGGAGGTGGTGGTTGCAGGGACGGCACCAAGCAGTGTGCTTTCCTCCATTGGCTGATCCTTCCACTTTCTCCCCGGTCCCCGCAGGAGCACGGTTTGGAGGAATTTGGGTGGTTCTGAGTGAATGCGACGAGGGTCAATCCAGTCAATCCAGTCAGTTTAGACAATCGGAGTGGTGACTTTGCTGGGTTAGGGTGGTGGGACTGGGACTCAAACTTGGAGGTACCGGTATACCAATGGTTCTTTTGTATGCATGGGATTTGTTCTCGGTAGACGGAGTCACGAAGCTCTACGGGTGGTAGTAACTCGGAAGGGCACTTTCGTATCATGGTGTATCACGAAGCTGACTCAAATCACCTATTGTCTCAAGTCGAATGGTAGTGCAGGGTGCAAAGTATGGTGCACATGTCTGATCAAGCGAACCGGGTATAATGCAGCTCGCGAAGTAAACATTTGTTTGGAAGAATCACCGTAGGGTGTGCATTGGATGGATGCCCACGAATTCGTAGTGTAAGAATGCCAGGGCTAGCTGAATGCCAGTTACCGTCGTACACACATTCTTAATCCAAACAGTACACCAACAATTAGTGTACCTTCGCATTCGTAACACGTGTAACATTTTATTTATTTATAGCTGTCTGAATAACACATGCCTGCAAGCACAATGTGGCTGCAGGGTGTTCAGAAAGCAATCTAGTTACTGGCATTCCAGCAGGTCTGGTGCACCGGTAAACCAGTTCTTATCTAGGATAAAAGGCATAGCCTCCTCACCATCACAAAACACCATACCATACATACTTACCCAAAACTACAGCCCTCCCTCCTGTGCTATTCCAGTCCTCTCCAGATTACGGTGCTCCTCCATAAAATGTTCCCCTGGCAGCGTTGCAGGTTTCTAAGCGCGCTTAGAAGTCCCTAAAGCGTCTCCTGTGACCAGCCAGCCAGTCCTTGCAGTAAGATTGCACCCGCTTCGAAGCAGGAGGCTACGATCGGCCTTCTTTCCAGGAGGAACCGCAGTGTGTAGTTTGAAGCGCAGGAGATGGGGATTGATGGTGCGAGGAAACCGGATGAAAGTGGTAGGGAGGATGTGAATTGCGTGGAGCTGGAAAAGTCTGTAAGCAGTGCAGTCAGGAGCGGTGGAATGCGGTGGTGCAGTGTGGGATTGGTAGAGTTAGGATACTGAAGAGACTGTAGAATGAGAGAACAGGTGACTGCTCAGAGGGTAGGGCGAATGGGGGAGGATGTGAGGATGCGGGGTTGCGAGGCTGTGAGGATGCGAGAATAAGAGGCTAAGGATTTGAGAATGTGAGAATGTGAGGGTGTGAGAATGTGGGAAGCGCGAAAGTAGGTGTTCTGGGATGCAGGACAGGAGGATGTAAACTGGGGCGGCGTTCTGGCAAGTGGTTTATTGTGGTTGCATGGTGCACCGTTGGCACATGTGGCTGCACAGCAGGTTATATCCTGCCTTGAGCCATTCCTCCCGCCACTGCTGCACCTGCAACTTCTTCTCCTCCTCCTCCTCCTCCTCCTGCTGCTGCTGCTGCTGCTGCTGCTGCTGCTGCTGCTTTGGTCTCACCCTCTGTATCCTGTCACTCATGCCTCCCTCCCTCCCTTCCCTCCTTTCCCTCACCCCCTCCATCAACGCCCATGTCCTTCACTCTTTGCCCTTCAACCTCACCACCTTCCTTCCCCACAACGAAATCTCCTTCCTGAGCCTCACAGTATCGAGCAACCACACCCCGTAGATTTCTCCGGAGCTACGGGCGCCTGAATCTTAGTCCACTGTCCCTCTGCTGGCTGCTCTTCCCGCGGCCCGTGCCGCGACGCCACGCCGTGACTGCTGCTGCCGTCCCCTCCCCTCCCTCCTCCCCCTCCTCCTCCCCCTCCTCCTCCTCCTGCTCCTCCTGTTCCCCCCCCCCCCTCCTCCTCCTCCTCCTCCTCCACCTCCTCCTCCTGCTGCTGCTGCTGGTGTTGTGCTGCCGTTGGGTCTGCCTGATCCTGTGGGTGCTGGCCTCATGGGAACTGTTGGGCCGTCGGATCTGGGCAGGAGAGGGTGTTGGAGAGGAGAGGTTGTTAGACAGGAGAGGGTGTTAGAGTGGGGAGAGAATTAGAGAGTGAACTCATCCCACCTAACCTCATCCCACTTAACCTCATCCCACCTGAATGCCAGCGACGTGCTGGAAGCAATGCCAGGGAGTGCCTAGACATCACATTTGACCTGCTCACCCATTCGACCCCACCCAACCCAGCCACATCATACCGCACCCCACCCGCCCATCCTCACCTGATTCTGAGAAACACACGCTGGAGGCAATGCAACCTTGAGCCTGAAAGTCTTCACAATCAGGTCTGACCCGCTCATGCCTCCCACCCAGTCCCACCAATTCCGGCCCGACCCACCCGCTCACGTGAATCTCGAGCGTTTTCACAATCAGGTTTGTTTCACCCCACCGGGCCACCCCCCCCCACCCCTCCCGATCCCACCCCACCCGCCCATCTTCACCTGAATCTGAGCGACGACGTGCTGGAAGCAATGCCCTCGAGTGTCTTCACAATCATGCTTGTCCCACTCACCCCACGCGACCCCATCCCTCCCCTCCCACCCCATCCCATCCCATCCCATCCCGGTCCCCACCCCACCACCACACCTGAATCTGAGCGACGACGTGCTGGAGGCAATGCCCTCAAGCGTCTTCACAATCAGGTTGGTCCCACCCCGCCCCGCCCCCCATCCTTCTCCACCCCATCCCACCCACCCACCCACCCAGCACCCATCGGCACCTGAATCTGAGCGACGCGCTGGAAGCAATGCCCTCGAGTGTCTTCACAATCAGGTTGGTCCCACTCACCCCATCCCTCCCCACCCCTCCCCACGCCATCCCACCCACCCAGCACCCATCTTCACCTGAATCTGAGCGACGCGCTGGAAGCAATGCCCTCGAGCGTCTTCACAATCAGGTCTGACCCGCTCACCCATCCGACCCCACCCCAACCACCGCACCTGAATCTAAGAGACGCGCTGGAAGCAATGCCCTCGAGCGTCTTCACAATCAGGTCTGACCCGCTCACCCATCCGACCCCACCCCAACCACCGCACCTGAATCTAAGAGACGCGCTGGAAGCAATGCCCTCGAGCGTCTTCACAATCAGGTCTGACCCGCTCACCCATCCGACCCCACCCCAACCACCGCACCTGAATCTAAGAGACGCGCTGGAAGCAATGCCCTCGAGCGTCTTCACAATCAGGTCTGACCCGCTCACCCATCCGACCCCACCCCAACCACCGCACCTGAATCTAAGAGACGCGCTGGAAGCAATGCCCTCGAGCGTCTTCACAATCAGGTCTGACCCGCTCACCCATCCGACCCCACCCCAACCACCGCACCTGAATCTAAGAGACGCGCTGGAAGCAATGCCCTCGAGCGTCTTCACAATCAGGTCTGACCCGCTCACCCATCCGACCCCACCCCAACCACCGCACCTGAATCTAAGAGACGCGCTGGAAGCAATGCCTTCGAGCGTCTTCACAATCTCGTCAAAGTCTGGCCGCACGTCGGGGTCCCTGTCCCAACACCGTGTGATGAGCTTCGTCAGCTGGCTGGGGCAGTCCTTTATGGGCGGCCGCAGGTCCTGCAGTGCGGGGAGGTTGAGGAGTGGGAGGAGGGGGAGGGTGGAGTGGGAGAGGAGGAAATAGAGAGACCAGGACTGCTTGCTTATCTCAGTGGGCCAGCACCAAGTAATGAGCTTGCTTCGTCAGTTGGCTGGGGCAGTCCTTTATGGGCTGCTGGGAGCACCAAGTGATGAGCTTTGTAAGCTGGCTGGGGAAGTCCCTTATAGGCGTCCGCAGGTCCTGCAACAGGGGTTGTTAGTTGGCGGAGGAGAAGGAGCGAGGAGGAGGAAGGTGGGAGAAGGAAGAGGGGGAACGGAGGGAAAAATGGAGCAGGCTACACTAAATTGAACGGGTCAGGCAAGGATGATTGTCCAGGCCTGCGTGGAATGTGGTGACTTTTGAGGCACCACAAAAATGAGTCGACTCAAAAGTCACCTTGAGGCAAGGATGATTGTCCGGGCCTGCGTGGAATGTGGAATGTGGAATGTGGAATGTGGAATGTGGAAGAAGTGGAGCGTGCAGTGCAGCAGAGGGAGATGCGCATAGTTTTCTCGTAGCAGAAAGACGAAGCGGCAAAGCAAGAGAGGCAGCAGGAGCAGGAGCAGCAACAGCAGCTCAACTCATGTCAACTCAGGTCAACTCAGGTCAACTCAGGTCAACTCAGGTCAACTTACATCAGCCACGATGGCGTGTGCGAGTTGCACAAAGGAGAGCCCTTCGAAGGGCCACTGGGCCGTGCAGATCTCCCACAGCACGATGCCGTAGCTGTACACGTCCACCTTGCGCGTGTACGGCTTGTGATCGATCATCTGGTGTGGGGAGGGGAAGGGGGTGAGGGGGTAAAGGGGTGCAAGGGGGGTGGATTCGAGGCAAGACCAAAGGGCCCTCTCAACTCCTCTCCCACAGCACGATGCCGTAGCTGTACACGTCCACCTTGCGTGTGTACGGCTTGTGGTCGATCATCTGTAGTGGGGAGGAAGATGGCGCAACGGGGGTAGTGGGTTCACTCTTCTCCTCTCCCACAGCACGATGCCATAGCTGAACACATCCACCTTGCGTGTGTACGGCTTGTGGTCGATCATCTGGTGTGGGGAGCAACGGGAAGGGGAGATAGGGAACCACACCGGTTGGGGAGAGAGACAGGTGAAGGGAAGATCAGGGGCCAAGAGTGCTCCCTCCCGCAGATATCCCTCCCACAGCACGATGCCGTAGCTGTAATCGACCACCTTGCGCGTGTACGGCTTGTGGTCGATCATCTGGAGGGACAACAGGAAGGGAAATCATCATGATGTGGACCAGATGTGTGAGCCCGCCAGCCAGGCAGGCAGGCAGGCAGGCAGGCAGGCAGGCAGGCAGGCAGGCAGGCAGGCAGGCAGGCAGGCAGGCAGGCAGGCAGGCAGGCAGGCAGGCAGGCAGGCAGGCTCCTGGAAACAGATCATCGTGTTCCTCTCCTCTGTGATAAGCATCATGGTGGTGAGCCACGCACGCACGCTCCTGTGCCTCTGTGTACACAAGCCCAAAGCCCCTGAGGCAACCCCCAAACTCTCTTCCCATTTCCCCCCTCCCCACGTCCCCCACCCTTCTCCATCCCACCTCGGGCGCCATCCATCGAATCGTGCACGTCTCAGAAGTCATGTTGCCCGGCTCCTGTGCCTCTGTCCTCGCCTCGCCAGCCCATAGGTGAGGTGAGACCCCTCATACCCTACATAGACACAACCGCCAAGCCACCCACCCACCCACCCACCCACCCACCCACCCACCCACCCACTGCCTCACCTCGGGCGCCATCCATCGGATTGTGCCCGTCTCAGCAGTCATGTTCCCCGGCTCCTGTGCCTCTGTGCGCGCCAGGCCAAAATCCGCCACCTTCACACTCGCGTCTGATGCCAGAAGCAGATTCGCCGACTTGAGGTCGCGGTGAATCACGTTGTAGCTGTGCAGGTACTGCATGCCCCTGGGGGAGGGGGGGGGGAAGGCAGGGGGGGGAGTGGGGGATATGAGAGAGAGAA